AAGTTCGTGTATCTTGTGCTCAAACTTTCATTCGCTCACTCTGAATTTTCTCGTAACAAGCAAGTTATCTTTGTCTGGAGAGTATGAGAAACTTTTTGGGTGATAGTAATCATGAAAGATAGGATTACTTATACTTTAAATAAAGAGATATAAAGGATACTTGTTGTAACCAAATGTAGCAAGTAATTTTGCAAACAATAGATAGAGAATACTATTGCTCAAAATTTAGCAAATACTTCAAACATATGCTAAAAAACATTAAGCAATGAGTATTATGTTGTAAACATACTTGTTCTTGAAATGTTCGTGCCTCATTGGAACTCCTCAATGTTGATTCAACCACTGACTGTATCTTCTCAATGATGACTTCCTGATTTAAAAGGCTTACCTGCATGCAAACAAAAGGCACTGTTGTCAACAACAGAGAATGAAGAAATAGGGTATCAAGTTGTCATGTTAGATACCAAAAATTGATATACCTTCAACTAATAACTTAAGCTTTTGAACTAATTTGTTCATGACACCATCAAAATTCATTCAATTTCCTTAGCAAACATCATCCATGAATCACACATCAGAAACTTAATTGTTTCTTTCATCAATTTTCTTTGGAACGATCCAACCCAAATTACAATTTCATAATCAATATTTACTGCAACCAAATAGCCAAAAAACTATGCATAACGAAAGATCCTTTAACCCACCGATTTTCCACCTTCGGAACTAAATGCCTTTGCCAGTATAATGCAGAACTTTAAGTCAATGACTTTAGCAATAATAATCATAAAGAATAACTGACATGCATATGCATAACTAGGCTTGTACCTCCCTCTTTGTTGGATGTACGTTAACATCAATATTCTCTGGTGGTAAAACAATTGAAATATATATAAAGGGCTTAGATGCTTTTGGTAATGTTGCTGCATAAACAATTTCAATAGCTCTCTTCAGTGCAGAACACTCAACCAGTCTATCTGAAGAACAAGAAAGATTTTCATGAGAATCTATAAACAATTAGCTCATGTTAGATAATGAGAAATTTGAAATAAATAAAGATAAACACTTGAGGAGAAAAAATATACACTGACGGTGTAATCTTTTTTACACTGTCATCTAATTACAAGCCAACATATGGCTAAGTTTGTTGACTTTGATAATAAAGACCTTCATATTCACACCAAAGATGATTTATAATTAATTGACAGAGTAAAATCATTTATACTAGAAGTACATATCCATTAGACTCTGAACAATATCAGATAAAACTTGCTGAAGATAAAAGTGAAACTGCATATATAGAGTTTCCATACGCACCCATCCATGAATTAGTATAAGGATGAAGAACACACAATTAGGTGAGGTGAGGGAAAGGGACAAGTGAATGCAAAGCAAAAGGCAATTTTTTTTACATTTTCCATAAACATCCTCTGTGCATTTGCAAGGATAAGGCTGTTTAAAATAACCCTTGCCCATACCTTCACACAGAGAAGAGCCTTCTAGACCCAGTGTACATTAGGTTTTTTATAGACAGTAGCATTCATCTAATAAAAAACACCTTCAAAATTTTACAAGCATCATGGTTAACGATTGTACAATTCATGTATACCATTGATGAAAAGCACCATGGTGATTTTCTTTGCAGCATAATTCGCATTGGACATGTAGCCATGCATCTCAAAAACAGAAGTAGATGGATCATCATCTGAAGCTTCAATTTCAATCAGATTGCGAACAACTGAGACCCCATAAACAGATTTGATCGCATCAAGCCTTGAAGATGTGGCAACAGTGTGGACATCAGCTCTAACAGCTCCATGCTGATTGAGGTAAGAGTCCCAAACATCCAGTGAAAAATTTAGAATACAGGTAGCAAATAAGATGGCTGTTGCAAATAAGTGTTTCTGCTTAAGAGACCAACCTTTCTGCAAGAGAAACTGACTTTAATATGATGAATAGCCAACCGGCTTACTAAGTCTACAATCTTCGAATAATCATCAGAAGAATTCTGCAGTGTCTTCTTCCTTGCAGCCATGTTATAGAACAGATTCTCAACCTATCAACATATTCACAATTCACAAGGACACAAGGACAGGTCAGTTTCATAAGGCAATATCCTAATCAGCTTCGTTACAGAGATAAAAATATGACTTGATTGCAATTTTGGTCCCATTACTGCTATCTTTTCAAAAATTTGATCATCACTATTTTAACTATGCAAGAAGTCTCATATCAGCATGGATGTGCTGACGTTAGAGTATAATTGAGCCACTATCAACATCTTTGTAATATTAGACATCAAGTTAACATCATTAAGTAAACCTAAATGTACATTAAAATAGTAAGATCAAAATTCGTGGAAAAAAAAAATGGAGAGATCAAATATTTGTGATATCATAACAATAAGGAGACACAAAGTGTAATTAAACCTAAAAATATGCATAATGTTTAAACATTAATAGACCATTAATATACAGTTAAGGAATAAATGGAAATATATTTTGGATTCCATTAAGGATATACAGTTTAGAATTTCACATATTTTTAGAAGGAAATAGGCGTGCAAATAGTTTAGCTGCTTATGGTCTTAGAACTTTAAGCTTTACTTGGTGGGTTCGACTGCCTCCTTGTATTGTCTCTAGTTTTTGTAGAGTTAGATGTGGTCTCCCATATTTCAGATTCTCTGTGGATTTTGGTTTGGTCCCCCAATTTCGTATTTCTTTTTTTTATTTTAATTGTATTGAGAATGTTGCATATGGATTGGTACAGATTGCAGTGGTAACCTGGTTAGGATTGCACCCTGTATAGTGATTCAACAGCATTCTTTTCCTTTGCATTAAAAATAAATAAATAGAACATTAGTGATATCACATATTAACGATGATGTCATTAGTTTAGTACATAAATATTTACATGAAAACTAATCACGATCAAACAAAATGACAAGCCATGGAGAAAACATTAGTTTACCGACCATAATCTGTGTTCCTTTAACAGCAGCACACGGCCTGGGTTCGTGTTCCATGACACCATCTCTATAGGACACCCTGAACCACAAAAGTGTAAATGTTAGATATATTATATACAAGAGAAACAAGCTTATTATAAATTAATTAAGGATTGTTTATTTCTTAAGCATTTTTGAGAAAAAAAAAAGTGCATAAAATAGAAATGTTTCATTTTTTTCTTATTTTCTTCTGCAGGAAGTATTTATCTAATCAGAACCTTAATCAGTTACATATGTATCTGATTCTGTAAATACTTCTAGGCGAGAAATAAAATATAAGAAGTAAAAGTAAAATGAATTTCTATAAAAGCAAAAAAATAAGAATTAAAATAAAATGAATTTCTGTATATGCTAAAATTGGCTTATCTGAAAGATGATTTTAATGGACAAATTTATTTCATTTTTCTTTCTTATTTTTTCACCTAACAGTGCTACTCAGTATAAAATTAAGGAAATTAATAGAAACATGAAGAAGTGAGTACCTGTAACCGTGCAACTGGTCTTTGGTAATGGTGGTGACGGTGACATGACCGACATAGGTCATGCTGGCGAGGGCCTCACCACGAAATCCCATCGACTTGATGCGCTGCAAGTCCTCAAACGCGGACAGCTTAGACGTCGTGTGCCGCTCACATAGAATCGGCAAGTCTTCAAACTGCAGAAGCGGAATCAAAACGCGAGCATAGTGTGAAATGACAGACGAATGAATGAATAATAAACGGAGGATTGAATTGAGAGTAACTTACTCGAATTCCATGGCCGTCGTCAGAGACTTGGATGAGCTTGAGGCCGCCGTCCTTGATGAGGATATTTATGGAGGAGGAGGAGGCGTCAAGGCTGTTCTCGAGGAGCTCCTTGACGGCCGAGACGGGCCGCTGGATGACCTCGCCAGCGGCGATTCGGTTGACGACGGACTCGCTCAGGCGCTGGATTTTGGGGGGCTCCATGCGGTACGAGGGTTCCGCTTCCACCTCGCTCTCAATCTCAGTGTCTTCCATGCCCGCACGCACTGCTTCAAATCGATGTACTCAATTTGTCTCGCTTTTGTTTGCGCGGGTTTTACCAAACACCAATATGATTCTTAATCTGTAATTTCCCTCTTAGAGTGTAACTTAACTATTTAATTCGCCTTCATGTACTTTATAATTAAAGTTTTCTAAATTTTATTGATTTGTTATATTTTTAATATAGTAATAAGACGTCAAAAAATCAAAATTACGCCATTTTATTATCAATTTTTACAAAAATAACTTGCTTTCCTCAACTTATTATTATCTTGTTAAAAAATTAACACAGAAGTGAAATTTGTAAAAAATAAAATATTTGGATGATAAAATATATTAAAACATACGTAATTCTATTGATGGAAAAATAAGACGGGCATAACTAATTATTAGAGGACACACCTTAAAATTAAATTAAAGAAATATAAGTAATTTCTCACCTTTTCTATTTTCCTAAATTATTATTTTTTATTATTATTATTTTGTTTTTATCTATTTTATTTTATCATTTTATTCATATAAAAGTAAGAATAAAAAGCAAAATAATAGTAATAATTTTGTTATTAATTTCTTCTTAATTGAAGCAATTGCATAACAAATTGAACAAACCTTCAATTCGTACCATCCAAAATTTTAGCCGATTATAAAATCCGGATAATATATTGATTTATATAGCTAGATCTTTCATCCGACAAATTTATGGATTCTACATTTTTTTTAACTTTTTTAAATTTGTTAATTATTATATTATTATATATTCTTTAATCTGAAATTGTTATATATTCAAAATTATTTTTCATATAGAAATTATTATATACTTTTTATCCACCAATTGATCATTTTTTTATATACCAATTCGATACATTTTAAAACATATTTTCAGATTATTAAATTTTTTAAACACTATATTTTGTGATAAATACTGGGTGGAGGAAGAATGAACTAAAAAAATAGCAGGCCCAATAATGGGAACCCTAAGCCCAAAAGACAAGATGCGGAGAGGGTGGTGTTCTTTACCGTGTGCATGGGGGTAGGAAATGCAATATTGATTCCCTTTCTCCACAGTCTGAACTCAATGTATTGTCGTAATTGTATATCTATGTAGCTCTTTCATCATTCCCATTTCTTCTTCCTCAACCATCCTCACGCTTTTCATTGCAAATAAATTCCAAAGCAAAACCAAGAGGTTTTCTCACATCGCACTCCAATGGCCACGCGAAAGCTCATTCGCGATTTCCTCCTCTCCAGGCGATCTCTTCTTCTTCCTTCTCCTCGCCACCACCACCTCCTCCAGGTTCCATTCTGTTCCCATATTTGTCTCTCTTTAAATTATTCCTTTCTTTCTTCCATTATTATTTTTATTATTTGTTGCGTGGATAGGGCTGGAATAGGAGTAGAAAGTTACCTTTGGATTGGGAAGATAGCCGGAGATACAGCGTCTTCAATGACTTCTCTAGCAAGATTAAAGGCGAAGCTGTTAGGTATTCCTCTCTCTTTCCAAATTGAATTGCACTATAACACTTATAACAGCTATGTTCGACTCTAGCGGGATAGATTAGTGACTTGCATGAGTTTTAACATGATTCAGCAAGTTATGCAGATTTCTATTTCAAAATCATAATATACTGGATTTTAACCTTAAGCCACTATTTCCACATTTGAAAATACTTTAAAAAGTGTTGCTGTTCCTTATTTATAAGAGATTATCGGGAGGTATAATTTTTCAAATGCAGAACAAGACATTGGATTCCCTTGTATTAACCGCACCACTTTGGTTAAAGGAAGAAAATAAGCTAACAATGAGATAAATTACGCAAGTTGCTGGTCTAGAGAAAGTTGGTCATAACTTTTTGCCCATTCATCAATTACACCAAGATAATAAACCAGTTTATTGATAGTAGGTGGGAGAAGACTAAATTGCTGCCATATAGCCACGCTATTATGGCCTAAGGTGCTGCCATGGCCGACTTTCCTTCACAAGTTGCCTTTGGCACTGGGGTCGCAAAACGTGACATTATAGCATTATGGTGGTGCTACAACGGTCATTTAACAACATTGATAACAAATAACACGATGTAAGCTTCAAGTCCTACAAACCAAAAAAAACCAAAAACTATTACAAATAAAGCATGTAAAACAATATCTGTTATTATTAGTTGTTTTACTACTACTAATATTATTATTTATGAGTAGGAGTCAAAGCAAACAAGAAATACACTATTTATTTTTTAATCATAGAAAATGTCGAACTCTGAAATTTCTCCAGCCTATTTGGCAAAACCTATATATAGCATGAGACATAAAAGAAGGAATTAAAACAAATATGTGATTTGAGAATTCACTACCATATTTATGTAACTGCAGTATGTTAAAACATACACGCTCATACACACACACAGAAGCACCTGACATATCAAGAGAAATAAAAGTAGTACTAGAGATATATTTTGTACTTTAAACCACTTGGATTACAATTGTACATAATAGGTAATGATGGTGTTATTTATTATCCATGTGTATGTATATTCCAATCTATTCCATTTAATTTCTTCGTAATGTTTGTTGGGACAGTAACGATTATATATAAGTCACTTTCCTGAAACTAAATAAAAAAATAAACTTAATCATTGATATAATCCTGTATGTTTTGTTCTATTGATTCTTTCTGAGGTTTTATTTCCTTTTATGGGTGTTACTGTCTGCCTTATCTGTTTCTTGTCTTTGATGGTTGCAGAAACCAAGAATTCCATTTAATTTCTTCGTAATGTTTGTTGGGACAGTAACGATTATATATAAGTCACTTTCCTGAAACTAAATAAAAAAATAAACTTAATCATTGATATAATCCTGTATGTTTTGTTCTATTGATTCTTTCTGAGGTTTTATTTCCTTTTATGGGTGTTACTGTCTGCCTTATCTGTTTCTTGTCTTTGATGGTTGCAGAAACCAAGAATTCCAACAGTCTGTCAAGGAGCTGAAGGAAAAAGCAGATGAGCTTAAAGGGGTAAAAGAAGAGCTGAAAGAAAGGTAAGGGTTGTATGTCATGACCTGATTAGTAGGCTGAGACATACCATTGTATGTCAAGGCTGGCTCAACTCTTCAATGGAGCCCTGATATGGTTAACTTGCTTATACAGGACAAAGCAGAAAACCGAGAAGCTGTACAAACAAGTGGATGAAGTGTGGACAGAGGCTGAAGCTGCTGCAAAGAAGGTATAATGAAGGTCATCTTCAGTTTCTACTCTTGATTAGCAATGAAAACTAGCTATGAGAAAAGTGGGAAAAAATAAGATACTTCTGATACTCTGTATGCTTTTTGGAAAACGCTATATAAACAACTGAGTTGTACATTAATGCATAAGTAGATTATGAAGTAATTGGATGTGTAATGTGATTTTACACTGATCTTGATACAAATTTCATGCTATAATTTTTTTTTGGTTAGGTAAAGATATGCATACCTTGGATTTCTATTTTTGTTCTCATTCTTCCCTTGTTTGTTTGTGCAGCTAAATGCAATTGTTATTAACCTTGTTCATGGGAACTTGGTATCCCTATATCTATTTTGAATAAGCTGACTCACTTTCTGTAAATTTAATTGTACATTTTCCAGGTTTCTTACAATGTTAAAGAGAAGATTTCAGCTGCAACTGAGGAGGTCTGTTCATGATTTAGAACTCTGTTGTTGGAAGTGATTGACAGTTGACAGGTTATTGATATTGCTTTTGTTAAATTAGGTGAAGGGAACTTTTGGGATAGGAAAGCAGGATTCTTCTGGATCAACTGATTCTTCAACTAAACAGGGTGCTGATGTAAATGGAGGAAGTAAGACATCATCTCACGAAGAGAAAAACCAGCATTCTGCTTCTAGTAATGCTGCAGATTCATTTTTTGGCAAAATTAAATCAACTATTTCCTCTCCAAATGTTTCTGCTGCCTTCCAAAAATTGAAGGATGCAAAGTTAGTTGACATAACCAAGAAAGGTTATGACATAGTGAAAGAGGAGTTAAGTAGTACCCCGACAAAGAGAAAACGTGTTCCTTTCACATCAAGTGGTGAAACAAGTTCAAGGACAGAACTTGTTGTTATGCCATCTAAACAATCTTGGTGGAGTAAGAAGTTTGATGAGTTCAGGGAGAAGGTGACCTGGTAGCAGTATTTTTTTTTTTTTTTTAATTGGATTGTACTGAAAAGCTTTTTATTGAATTATTTTTGCATTTTCATAAAGGTGAAAGGCCATCCAGTATCCAAGCGATTCATTAAGTATAGTGACCCAGTGAAGACAAAGGGCCAGGAGGTATGTTCTAATCTGAACTCTTGAGGTTCTTTATTCTACTAAAATAATTATTTTTTTTACTGTACTTTGTTATATTATGATATATTGTTTAGCTTGCTTCATTTGATTTCTTAAGCATTAGTGCCCTATGTGTCAATTCATGGCTGTGGATGGAGAAAATGTTACATGTTTAACTTCCAAATCACCTTTGTTGGCATGATTTTTTACATATCTATTGGAATTGACAGATAGTAGAGGATTTGCGTGAGAGATATGAGACCAGTGATAGCCCCATTGTTCACAAAATACAGGAGTATGTCATCGAGTATCTCTTTGCACTCATTCTTGTTCTTAGAAATTAGATATACTAAATGATTGGTTGCTGTTAATAGTAATGCATGCTGCAATATTTGTCTGATTATAGTCTACATTGTATCATTGTATGATGCAATTTAAGCCCTAATTTACCACACATTTATTTTACAGTATCAATGATAGTATGTTTCAAGAGACAGATGCCGCAATTTCTTACAAGGAAATACGGCAACGTGATCCGTAAGCTCTCATGGCTTTTGTCTTTATTTTAGTCTTTGCATTTTATTGTTATCTTAACTGCTAACATCTATTTTCTTTGGTTACATGGACCAGTTATTTCTCATTACCAGAATTTGTTGGGGAAGTACAAGAAGCAATAAAACCAGTGCTTAATGCTTACATCAAGGTTGGTCCTAATTTTGAACAGGAATTATTAAAATGTGTTCTGTTTTATGTGCAGTCATTTTTTCATTCCATTTTTTAATTAGGCATGAATTTAAGGCCAATATACTTCGGTATAATGCCAATCTTGTTCTATCAAGTGACACTTGTATCACTTATAAATTTATATACACTTTTACATCTCATTTTTCGCTCATCTCTGATGACCTGTCTTTTAGAACAATTGTAAGTTGTGACTGAAATAGATAATTTCGTGAAAAGCCTGGTGTAATCAAACAAGACAGGGAAAACTGGATGTGATGATTATGATAACTTGTGACATTGGACGTAAGGTAGGAGCAGCAAATATGTAATACTGTCTGATATCTAAGTTATAGATCATAGATAATTGGGCAAACAAGAATCTTAATGAATAATCATCAGGTAAGAAACTTTTTTAATAATCATTTTGAAAAGGAAAACCAACAATTAGATTAAACTTTTGGATTAGATGCCATGTTTAGTGAGAATCCTTTTAGTGAAAAGGAAGGGAAGCATTGTCTTAAAATATAGCTTAAGAAAGATAACAATGTGCATGTTGGATGAGGGGGATCCATTAGCATTAAATGGTAGTTTTAGACTTTGTATGAATGAAAAAGGCAGTTGCAGTCGTTAGTTGCAGAAAAGCTGGCATCTGAAGTGAAAGAAGTTGATCAATAATAAATTAAGTAAATGTTACCTGTATCACTTCTTAAGCAAAACCTGATAGGGATAAAGCACTATGTCTAAGCTTTGCTCTAAATGTATTTGTTGGCTGGTTAGATGCATTAATGATTTACGAATCAGATTTTACTGTTAATTATATTTACAGGGAGATGTTGAAACATTAAAGAAGTATTGTAGCCCTGAGCTGGTTGAACGTTGTAAAGCGGAGCATCATGCTTACAAAAGTCATGGCATATTCTTTGATAACAAGGTGAAATATGCAATTTTAATCTTTCTAGTTGTTTTGAATGAGGTTGATAGCACCATATCATATTGAGCATGTTAAATTGTTTCCCAGAAAAATAGCTTTTTTAACTCAACTTCTTGAGGTCTCGGTAGTGTATATTTGATAGGGTTTTAGTAAAGGGAAATACATAAAATGAAATAACCTTAATACCTTCACAAGTTATAGTTATTTTCCCTTATCTTTTCTTCTTTATCTCTTCTTACATGCGAATGAAACTGGAAAGGCAAATTTTCTAAGGCTGGGTATCGTGTTTACCCATAAATGATGCTATCCTGTTTTCAAGTACTTCTTTTTGCCTATCCGAATTTATCTTCGTTAAGCTAGTGTAGCATCCTGTTGTGAATCTTCACAATTTTTTCCTACAACAAAGCATGGTTAAGGTGCTTGTACCTACTAGTAGGATATTTAGTTTTTTTAATATTTAACCCTGTGCAGATTCTGCACGTATCTGAGGTGGATGTAAGAGAGATCAAGATGATGGATTCATCTCCAGTAATTATTGTAATGGTATGCAAATTATTATTTCCAGAAGTTCATTGCTAATTTATAAAATTTATTGTATACAGTAGAATGGAAATTTACATGGATGATTCTTTTAAATGAATTTTCAGTTTCAAACACAGCAAATCTATTGTGTACGTGATAGGAATGGGGCAATTACAGAAGGAGGCAAGGTAAATATTGTGTTTTCTAACAGTTTATATTTTGCAATTGCTACTAGTACAATGTGAAAATGCTATGCTCCTTTTATATGTTTAAACTAACAGAATCTAAAACGGTAAAATATCATGCATTTTACGTCCCATTTGAGGTTGTGGGTACCTCTTAATACTGTAAACACTTTTAATGCTATTGACATTTCAAATGCCATCTTACCATTCAATTCCATGTTTGGGTGGTTCTGTTATTGCCCATGCATCTCCTCCTATCTAATAGAAATTATTGAAGGCGTGGATGAAGTAACGGTAAATGATGCATGCATGTGTATTTTTCACGTTTAAATGTATACTGTGTGGAAATGCTTGTTGTGATAGTTGTACTATATGTAAAATGGTTTGTTCTGTATAGAGAAAGGCATGCAAATAGCTTAATAATTACGCCTGTTGTCCCAATCTCTCCTTGTTGCTCTTAATCATGTCTGAAGGCTGCCTGCTTTCTTCTTTTGTAATTCATCTTTGGTTAATGTTTTCCATACTCCATATAGGATCTGTTTGGAGAAGTTTTTCTATAACCATTTCTATAAGAGAAAAATAAGAAAAAAAAAATTAGATTCTACAGAAGCACTTCTATGAGAGAAAAAAAGTTAATCTATAAACTACATTTCGTTTATTCACAAGTTAAAAAAAAAATATATTTGAAGAAACTGTACAAAAGCTTCTACAAATTATTTTACATAAGCTATCAAATTTTATGGAGAAGTTCATTTGCCTTTTCCTTATTTTCTATCCTAAAAGTGTTTGTGGAGAAGTTCATTTCACTTTTTTTTTTCTCTCCTAAAAGTGTTTACGGAGAAACTTATTCAAAGAGACCAAAACAAAATTAATGTATGATGACATAATCTCGAACATGTGTTACACCATTTTCACAACCTTGCCTGTCTGATTTTAACTATAATTGTTTTCTTTTCTAGGATACAATCCACACTGTATACTATTTTTGGGCATTACAACAAATGGATCAAGAAGATCGTGGAGAAGATGGCATTTACCTAATGTGGAGACTAAGAGAGATGCAACAGCAAGGCATCCAAGCCCTCATCTAGTTTTTTACACATGACTTCCTTTTCAGGGATTTGTATAATTGAGCCTTTATATTCCATACTCTATATTCACTGATTTTTTTTTTCTAGGGGCCAAGTTGTTGTATCTGGTGATACTTCCTTTAGTTTTTTCAATAATTTGCTTTTGTTTTTAATAATTTGTAGTATCCGGTCCGTACGGTTAACCTTTTTTCTTCGATTACCAAAAGGTTTGTATACACAGGTTAATGTGTACAAAATTGACGGGTAAATATACACTCTGCATGTACAGATTCTGATGATGAATGATGGATGTCACAGAAAGCCTCTATTCAACATCTTGAATAATTTTAAAATGTTCGACTATCCGTATTACAGGGGAATTTATGGAATTTGTAAAATTACCTGAAGCTCACATTCATTAGATTTAAAAATGAACATTAAAAGCAAAGGTAAACCTATTTTTAATCACAATTTTGAAACATGAGAAAAGCACGAATCAGCTTCTTTTTCGATAATTTGAATTAACTTTTTGTTACTGTAAACGTATTTCATGACTACGCAGAACTCCAAGAGGACATTTGCGCTGTGTTTGAACTGAATTAAAGAGTAAGAATTCCAAACGTAAATAACTTTTATAACTAAGACACAACCTTCTTTTCTATTTTAAACACGAGATAAACACTATTCACATTTTATTATATTAATAGTCAAATGATAAGTATATGTAACATTAAATCATATACTATTAATAATATATAATATATAAATAATACAATAAGAAAAACACATTTTTTGTGATTAATATAAATAACGCATAAATATTTATATTATAGAGAAGAATAAACTTGTACATAAACATTAATATTTTGAATATGAAAATATTTTAAAAACAATACTTCAAATCGTTTTAATAAATACAAAAATAATATTTCAAAGTTAGAAATTTACAACATAAAATAAGTTATATTTGATATGTGATTCTGTAATGATGAAATTTTAATTTCTATTTAATTTTAAATTATTTTACCAAGTTAACTAATTATTTTCTTTTGTTAGTACAATGTTAATATAGTTATTAAATAAGTTAACAAACTTATTATACACGATATTATAAGAACTTTTACTCTTCTGTAAATAGTTAAGTAAGGTTATATGGACCATAAATATTGAGTTATTTTATTTGCGACAGTCTTGCGATTAAGAAAATTTATTAGATAAAAAACTCCACCATATAGCAATTGTGTGATATAACTTATAAGCATTGAATGGTCAGAGAGTGGGTATAAAGAAACGTAGTATTGTGATTAATCCATCCCTTCCCAAGAGAGTGTGAGAAAAAGACATATATGTTGAGGGCTTTGTTTGGTCGCACGTGCAGGATATTGTCATTGGCACCGCACTCCACACTCGCACAGAGTAAACACTCCGATAATCTTCTTCGCACCAAAACCAAATCATTTTACACATTCCTTCTTCATTCGTACGTTCTTTCTTTCTCTCCTTCCTTCATATTTCAATTTACCCACATAAACGTTCATCATAGTTCACAACTCCAACAACCTAAAATGCCATGTAATTTAAATTTATGTTGAGATTCACACCAGTTCCAGGGTTTCGAAATGAAATTGACTGGGCGTTTCACCAAATGGGATTTGGTGATCAAAGAATCAAAATTTTAGTGGTTTTCCAAATATTACTTTATAGAAGAAACGTAATTCTTCAAAATGATTTTCTGCAACTACAAAAAATGGCCATTTTTTTCCTCGAAACAAGTTAGTTCCACCTTCCACGTGCAGAGCTACTATCAAATTACCAAAAATGAAAAAACATGAAAATGGAAAGAAAAAGATCTTTTTATGATTGCCAATTTTTTAACTCTATTAATTGGTGGTAATTCCTCGGCTTATTCTATTTGCCTTCCCTTCACAATGCCACTTGCTGCACAGTTGAAATTAACCGTTGCATACAGGACTTATTCAACTTGGTTAAATCGTCTTCAGTCCAGGATACCTGTAGTCTACACAAAAATATGGACTCTATTGCAGTGTTTGAATTTCATTCTTTTCTTATTTCAATATTGCTTCATATTGTAGGACAGGTCTCATGGAGAGTAATGGGAACTTGGCAAAGGATGTTGAGAAACAAACCACTCGAGTTTTGTTTTGTGGACCCCATTTCCCTGCTTCTCATGAATATACAGCCGAGTATTTGCAAAATCATTCCCATATCAAGGTAAAATAGAATTGATAGTTCATGTTCATCATATCCAACTAGCAAATTAAACTACTCCAGTTTTGTCTGCTGTGTCTTTAACCAAGTTGAATGGTGTCAAATAATTCATCTAGCCAATCCATAGTGGAACAAGACTGTTGTTGATGTGTATGTTTTTTGCACCTCACTTCCCTGCTTCTTACGAATATACGTACAGCATGGTATTTGCAAAATCATTCATTTAACAACTACGTAAAGTGCAAAAGCTCCTCGTCTTTGGTGAACATGTTTGTCCTTCATGCTGAACTGTGATTGTGGCAAATATTGATTGCTTTTTTCTTTGTCGCATTAGAGTATAACTGGGAATTGTACCATGACATGTAATTCCCACTAGTTTTGTATTTCAAGATGAAAACCATTTACAGTCACCGGGTAAAAGCATTACACTCTGTTGACGGATGAATATAAGACAAGTTTTGGGATGGGATGGAGACTACATTTCTGAATTTCCTTTCAAAGAGCAATAATAAATTAATTTTAGGTGATTTAGACTTGCCCGAATTGGTTGGAGTTTAATTAACGTGGAGTAATCATTGGTTCCAATTCACTTGGTGTGTATTTTGGGGCATTAGTGTGTCCTTGGTGTGTACTTTGACTTTGGCTCTCTAGTGTGTCCTTGGCATTCTATTTCTCACTAAACTTGAGTTTGTGTTTTTACACTATCTGTACTTTATAATTGTTACTCTTCTCTGTGCAGTTACTTGTGGTTTAAAATAACTACTGACATTGAAGTTATACAATCTTTGTATCACAATGAGAAAAATGTTCTCATTAATTTTAGTTTAGTTTAGATCAATAAACTGTCTATTGCGTTCTTGTGTTTGTAGGTTGATGTTCTCTCTTTTGAAGATGTGTCCAAGGATATTTCCAACTATCATGTCTGCATAGTAAAAAGCATGAGGCTAGATTCAGACATAATTTCTCGTGCAGTTCAGATGCAGCTTATAATGCAGTATGGTGTTGGGCTGGAAGGTACTGTGCTTACTGTCACTATAGGTTTAGTGTGGAATTTCAGGAAGCTTGATGTTTTCCATATTTATTATAGATGTAATTTTGCATTTTATTTTTTCTTTCCTCTCGTTAAACCTCATCTTAGTTTTAAATTGATAAATCATGAATTTTTCTCCAAGGTGTTGATATTGATGCTGCAACAAAGCATGGAATCAAAGTTGCTCGGATCCCAAGTGATGTTACAGGAAATTCAGCTTCATGTGCTGAAATGGCCATATATCTAATGCTAGGTCTCCTCCGAAAGCAAGTATGATACCTTCAATTTGACATAAAAATTTTCCATTTTTTCTAAATGAGCGCTATTCCACTTTTGAACAAAAAAATAATGTTCATGCAGAATGAACTGCAAGTTTCCATACAACAGAGGAAGCTTGGGGAGCCAATTACTGATACTTTATTTGGCAAAACTGTGAGTATATTGATTCTTTTTGGTAAACAAAATAATATTCTGTACTCCTCATCTTTTTTATTCTTGTTTCTGATCATTGCTTGTCATAATGGTTACATACCACAATAAAAATGGATCTCAACCTATTCTAACGAATTAAATAAAAGCTATGATGGTACTTCTGAAGAATGGAGAAGGGAATAGATGATCAATAAAATGTATGACAGGTTGCCTGGGGCCTCACAAAATTATTATGGATAACATGTACATAGGTACCTATTTTCTTTTGTGGGTGTCTATAAATTGATTGAATTAAGTTTCATTTTGTTAAATAGTATTGGGTTAAACAAATGATGAAGATTTATGTGGGGCTCTGAAAATTATGTTTTAGTTCAAACTTCAGTTTTTGGTGTAACTAGGCAGAGTCTTTTCCGAGAAACCCCCCAGAATTGCTTACATGCTGATTTGTATAACACAGTTTCCAAAACCAAATATTTTCTGTACTACACGTAGAAATGATACAGTTATGTCAGTATAAGGGCAAACAACCATGAACTGAGTATATTTTCTCCTTTTGCATCTGTTTTCTTTGTGAAGTGTAATTTCTATGCGTGGATATGTTTGCAATAATTGAATGCGCTTATTCTGGATAAGTAATTTTTATTGATAATATAGATATTCATTTTGGGCTTTGGGAACATTGGAATGGATTTAGCAAAGCGGTTGCAACCATTTGGTGTAAAGGTTATTGCCACAAAGCGGAGCTGGGCCTCATATGCGCAGCACGCTAGCAAATTAAGCAGAAGTATTTTCCTTCCCAATGTTGTGGACTATTACTTGTAATATGCCTAATTTTTCCTTCTATTTCTTAACATGTTCTTATTATTTTTTGAAGATGATGCACATGATCTTGTTGATGTGAAGGGTTGTCATGACGATATATATGACTTCGCAAGGAAGGCTGACATTGTTGTTTGCTGCATAAGATTAAACAGTGAAACGGTTGGACCTTTGAACAATCCTTCATTTATTTGTTTTTGGTGAACTTCCATTTGCTTTCGGCGAAAATTTATAGTTTTAAAATTATGGTAGTTGGTTCACCCAGATGTTGACAAATGGTAAACAAAAAAGCATTTATTGTATATTTTTTATCCTATCTTTTTTCTCCCTTTGTTGTTTAGATATATGTGTTATTGTTTAGAAAGTCTTATTTCTTTTTCTTTAAGAGTAACTAATGTACTGATGCAGAATCTAAGTTGATTAATAGGATGAATCTGTTTATGCATGAAAGCTTCAGTGACATCTACTTCTGCCTTTTTTTAAATGTTTTTAAGTGTATACTGGAACTAAGCATAATATTAATGATTTCTTTTCTTTACATGCCTGTTGACTTGGTATGATGTTTTTCAGGCTGGTGTTATAAACAATAAGTTCATATCTTCTATGAAGAAGGTTTGTTTATCATCTCAGATTAACTTCTCTAATTAATTTATTTATCTTTTTATAGCAGTTTGGCTCATAATCCATGTTCAAGAACTTAGGAGATGGGTAAATGTTATAATACTTTTGGTATATATTTATCTTTGATACCTCGGTATGATAATTCAAATTGGAACGATTGAATAACTTATGAGTTATGATAGAATTTACTTTTCTGGTACGCCCAGGGGCGGAACTAGACAGTTTTTGAAGGGGGACAAGATATAAATATTAAAATAAAATAATTTTTTTAATAATATTATCATAACAAAAGATCATAAGGTTCAAGGATTAAAAGAATGGGGGACCACGTTACAATTTTTTGGGGGCCATGTCATAGTAATATGTACATAGTAACAACAAAATTTATTTGTTTTGGGTAGCCACTGCCACCACATCCTTCCAAGAGCCTCCACCCCTGCGTACGCCACTGATGGATTATAAGTGCTTGTCTAGGAGATCATCCTCTGTTAGGTCCCAGCAGAATGCAATCAGGTCCTGCAAGGTACATTAGATGCAAAGTAGACAGGTGGTTAGTGGGACCCAGGCCTAGTTGAGTTATTTAGGAATATAGTTAATCCGTTGAGTTATTAGGTAGATAAATGTGAGATATGATTTGATTATATCATAGCAATAAATTGATTACATTTTAATTGGGAGATATGATATGATGTTCATATTGTATCTCTTGTTCATTTTAAATAAAAATACTCTTGTTTGTACACAACACATGAAATCCATTATATTCCTTCTCAAATTCTTTTTTTCTTGACATGGTACCAGATCGATACCATTGTCACTGATCCTTTCAATGTGTTTTCCTTGTGAGCCCACTGCTCATAGGTGTAAATCTTTTTTTAGAAACCGTACATTTTCTAGTTTTTGTTTTTTGTTTCATTGTTCACTGTCCATTATTTTCAAGGGGGTGTGGTTCACTGTTGACGCCTTTCCAGCATGTACCATTAGCTGCCAACATTTTTCCACCGTAGATATATTTTTGGTAGGTATTGTTCACCGTCAACATTTTCTGGTGGGTACTGTTCACCGTCAACTATTTTTGACAGGTGTTGCTCACCACCGACATTTTTCCAGTGAGTATTGCTCGTAGTCAACATTTTTACAGCAAGTACTGTATACCATAGATTTTTTTCAACAGGTGTTCACCACTGATTTTTTTCCGGTGGTTACTATTCATCATTGATGTAACTTTGGCTGATATTGTTTGTTTCTGACATTCTCTGGTGGGTATTGTTCATTGCTGACTTTTTCTGGCAAGTATTGTACACAGCTTGTGTTTTTTCAGTGGTGGCCGATATTGTTTTTCATCCACATTTTCTCAGCGGGAATCGTTTGTTGTTAGTATTATTCAAGTGGGTCTTGTTCACCACTGATATTTTTCTGGTGGGTATTCTTCACCGCCATCGATTTTCCAACTGGTATTGTTCATCGTGGACGTTTTCTTGTGGATATTTGTCACCACCGACAACTTATGGGGAGTATTGTTCACAACCAATGTTTTTTCCTGTAGGTACTGTTTATCATCAACATTTCCTCAGTGGTTATTGTTCATCACTAACCTTTTTCTGGGGGGTACTGTTTTCCACCCATGTTTATTCGGCATAGACTGTTTTCACCATTTTTCCGGCATGCCTTGCAACATTTTTAACAACCTTTACTCATGATATATATAGGCTTCAACTTGAGGAGGATTGTGTTATAAGTTATTATTTATCATTATTTACTTTATCAGCTACTCCAACAACAAACTCACTCGACATGATTCTCTCAAGTGATCTTGTGCTAATTACATTTGTAACAAGCTTTTTACACCTGATACATAGGTTTTAGCTTAAGGAGGATTGTTAGAGATATGATTTGATTATGCTATAAATGACTTTATTACATTAAAATAGGGAGATATGACATGATTTGATAGAGAAGTATCTTACTAAATATTTTTCATTATTTGATATTGATTTTATTCTTTATTATTGTATCTCTTTTTTATTATAAATAAAAATACTTATGTTTGTACACAACCCGAAATTCATATCTTTTCTACATGGCACCAGAACGGTATTCTTCTCCGTGACCTATCTTGTCACTAATTCTTTCAATGATAAATATGGGGAAAACGGCTCAGTGAGTTGTGCTTGTAACTAAGCTATCTTTCCTTATGATCTGAATTCTGCAATAATTCTTTGTTCCTTCTGTCTCTTTCTCTCCTTAATGATCTTTTGAGTTGAGGAAACCCCATTCCAATCCCTGACTTTTCAAAATCCACACTTGAAGTGTGTATTTTCAAATGTCAGAGTGATTAACAATATTTATAATGTAAAGAATGAGATTTTACTTGATCATTTTGTAATTTCTATTTCCTAGTTGGTAAGTTTCTCATAAAATTTTGGTAAATTATAAATTATTTTATACTTAACAAATGACAAATGGGCCTGGATCCTAACATATTTAAACACGTAATAACATTTTTTTTAACAATAAAAAAGATTATTGCAAATTACTCTTTTGATTGTGGATGATTCATGAGAACTGTCTACCATGAAAATAGAATTCATCAAAGCATAGTTGAAGCTATTAAGGTTGGACATAGAAAGCTTGCGAGCAACCTAAAGAAGATGAGAATAAATTTCTCCAGTGTCAACTGTCAAATTTTGAGATGGGCAGGACAGAAATCAGCGTGATAGCCCAACAAGAAGCACATAACAATCAATTGTTCTGGTTGGGTTCTGTTATGAAGTAAAGAGGATGGTTAGGTGATGCGAATTGTAACAGAAGAGCTTTTGATTGACAGAAGGGCAATGAATGAAAAAGTGAATAATTATTTCATACAGGCTTAACTAGTGGAACAGATTATTGCAAATCCTGATCAGTTAATGGAAGGGGCTTTTTTGTAGCTGTTTATAACATTTTATTTTTGTCTTCTGACACAGATGTGAAATCATCACAATTTTTTTTAGTTTTCCTTCTAACACCACATTATTTGTAGAAAAATAAACAAATGTAACATTAATGAAAATATATTTTAGTTTAATTTGCTAGTCAGTTGTAACTTTTAATGAAGTTCCTTGTACATACAATTTTATATTTCAGGGTGCTCTTCTGGTAAATGTTGCTAGAGGTGGTCTTATGGACTATGATGCTGTAATCAACAACCTTGAATCAGGTCATTTAGGAGGGTTCGGCACTGATGTTACTTGGACTGAACCGTTTAACCCTGATGACCAGATATTTAAATTTAAGAATGTTATCGTGACTCCTCATGTTGCAGGCGTTACAGAACATGCTTATAGAACCATGGCTAAGGTGTGTGGGGCCATTTCACATTGCCCTTCCTCTGAAAGTATCTGGATCCATAAGAGTCATTTTGCCTATGCTTAAATTGCTTTTGTACTTTATTTTTCTGAATTATAGGCTACCATTGAATATATTGATTAAAAGAAAAGAGACAGAGAGAGAGAGCAAATACACTCCTGCGAAATCTGATACTTTTCTTGCTTGTTGTTCTACTGCAGGTTGTTGGTGATGTTGTTCTTCAGCTTCATACCGGGCTGCCTTTGACAGGGATAGAGGTAGTTAACTGATTTAGTGCAGACAAATTCATTCCATTATCTTCCACTTCCTGACTTTTATAATTTAAGAAGAATTCTGAGCTGCCAAAGCACTACATTTTGAAAAGAAGAACGAGACGAGTCAATGATTATGTATTGTCCAATTGTTGTTCTATCTTTGGGGTGAACTAATTGTTCTTTAGTAGTGGGTCGTGGAAACCAAATAAAGTGTATATTACAGTGCACTATTTATAATTTCTAATTCTATTTTGCCACTATTTATACACAGACTACAAATATCATGGTTTGTTTTTCACAATACTTATGATAGACATCTGACCTAAGATACTATGTGTTGAACCATATGATATAATATGGACCTAGTGCTGTAACCTTAAATGATTCTATATACGTCTCTGCAATAAATGATCTGGTATGTACTTCACATTCTTCCTAAATTCTTTTACCGTACCTTAAATAACCCACCATGATTCACTTTACGTGATGGTTTGAGTTTGGATGTGATTTGGATCCCACTTGTCAAAATATACTGTATCTGGCCGTGTGTATATATATATATATATATATATGTTATACTATAATTAGATTACTATGCAAGCATGTTTTGCAATGCTTATTGTTATGATCTTCACGATTCCACCCAGATTTAAATTATCAATTTCGATTTTTACTCAGATACAAAATGCTTACGTTATGTTTGTTGACAATTTTTATATTTAATTCAAATTCATCGTTTTTAATGTTGTTTTAACTCTACAAGTTAATAAACTTTTCAGCATTTTTTTTTTTTATTATTTAGCATTTCGAGAAACTGTTTTGGTTGACTTTCTAAGCTTTTGTTAAAAAATGAAGTATATATACTGAGATCTGACTACATGTTTTGTATTTTTATTTTAAAGAATAATTTAATGATAGGTTATTCGAGACACAATAAAGAGATAATACTAAATTAAAATTATAAGACAAACTAAGCACAAGTTTTGAACGAAGCAAACGTAAACAGCAATTAAAGATCGACATTTATAACATTAATCCATAAGCTTCGTCTGCATCAAGAAGGGTTCTCGTTCGAGTGAACAAAGTTCCTGAGAAGTGTAAGTGTTGTCACATTAGTTTCTAAAAATTAACAAGTCTTTGAAATGAAAAGATTTTAAAATTTTAGACTAATACGATTGTCTAATTACGTTTTCAGAATCTTTTTCTTAACTTCTTTTAATCCAGAGACTAATGTGACAACATCTTCCAATTTCATAGACAAAGTGACCTTAATCAATTTGGATAATTTGGTTGGAAAGTCACCCAAAACAAAGAACTATTTCGTTTTTAAACTATTGCATATGCTTCACATTATTCTAAGCATTTTACTACTTCTACCTAACAATCTCGATTTTTTTATTTTACATAGAAGACAAAAACAAAACTTACACTACAACTTGAGAGAAATCACAACATACTAATTTTTGGTAATAACATCACAACATACCTTACAAATACATAGGATACATTGTTACCAATCTCAACATTACAAGTCTTTGTTAATTATGTACAATTTATGGCACGCAAGAACATATGAATGAATGACTGTTCACTGTGACAAAGCAGATTTTGTGGCTATTCCCTCTGGTTGCTATGCTACTTTTTCAAACATTCCTTACCTTCAGCTTTATATCTGGGTGTGAATGGAGGGGCTTCTTCGGACTTGAAGGAACACTTGAGAATTTACGGACCAGAATTTTGAAGCATGGTAAAAATACTATGTATAGAATTCCCAAAATAATTGGTGAAGCAGCCAACCACCCTAGTATCTGCAAAAGTTTGATAAACGGGACAAAATTGAGCAATACAAATTTTGGAAAAGGACATCATCAAGCATGGAAAATGCAAGCAAAATTATTCAAGCTGCAAGGCATATGTGAGGACAAAGTAATTCAAACACACAATGAAATGCCAGATCCATCAGGTAAAAAGTTAACAGGTTTCTACATTACTAGGTCCGAAAGCATTCCAAAATAAAGTATCCAAAGATTTACTGTCAGTGTATCACTAAGAAGTGATACAGAAAATTCAAATATACATAAATGATGTCTGTTTAACTGCACTGAATAGCACCAGTAGCGATGTTATGTATGGTAGTAAAAATACAGCAATTAGCAAAGGAACATAAAATACAAAAATACAATTAGGAATGGTAGTAAAATTGAATTATCTAAAATAATATTTTTATGATTCTGATAACCTTACACTTTTAATTTATAAGTTTTTCAGAATATTACAACAAGGTCCAAAACAAAGTAAACCAAAAAAAAGAGATGATTGCACCATCAAAGTTGTTCCCATTGTTTCCTGACTTGTAAGTCTTAAATGTTTCAGCAAAGTAAATTATAGTCTTGCTCATCAAGAAAATCTAAAATGACTGAGCATTGCATATCATTGCTCCATCTAAGCATTCAATGACGATGAAACACAAACCTAGTCAGCGCCTCATGTATGTCGAAGTAAAAAAAGAAACAATGAAACAAAAACCTAACCAACTCCTCAAGCATGTTGAAGTAAAAGGAAAAAAGACTGAAGGTGCAACGCCAGTTTACAAAGAACAAAAAAAAGACCAAAATGAAAGGCATAAAATATAGCTAGTTTACAAAGTATGAGAGATCAACATTAAATACTCTTTCGTGTTAGAGAAGAATAGGATATACAATTAAAAAGATGTGTGCACATAGTCTGGCAGAGTCACAGTTGAGACAAATTTTACAATCTTGAATTAAAAAATTGAACGGAAAGTAAATTGGTCAATAGATAACCAGTATAATAGGTCAATGCTCCATTTCAAACTTCAAAATAATGTAAAGTGGCACAAACGGGAAAAGAGGAAATGAATGTATTGATTTTTCGTTGTGTGTACATATCTCTATGTTTAAGACAAATGCACAAGAAAATACTATGTGGTAGCACCTACCGCATGGGCAACACTTAATAAGACTTCATGTGAAGCTTGTCCAGTAAAGACTTTCTTTAAAGCATCAGATGTTAAAGGGAAATGAGATCCACCAGTGATAACTTCACCAAAGCGTAGAAAGGGTACAACCAAACTGAAATAACAAATAAAAGCAAATATCAATGTACAAACAACAATAAAATCAATATATATATATATATGATAGAACACCAGCATTTACAGAAACATTCAAGACAGTTCTTGCCAGATTTTATTAGAATAGCTATGTTTTTGCCAATGTGGTAGAAAACAGGAACAAGGTCCAACAAACTAAAGCTTTTCAAGAGGACCTGGCTCTCCTAACTCCCTTCCCTCCAAACAATCCAAAAAAAACCCCTACAACAACCTAACACAGACTATATATAATAGTCTGTTAAACACGTTACAATAGCTGGAGGTTTTAACTGCCTCTTTATTTATTTCTCCTAGTATAAACCCTACCGCTGAACCTATCAATATATATATATATATATATATATATATATAACCCTTCCTCTTAACTTTTGGAAAGCAACAACATCTAGACCATATTCCACCAGGCAACTACATGGATCAATCAACACCATTGGTCTCTACCAGAAACAAAATTATCTATAAAAACTAGATTAAAATCTTTTTTTAATAGCTTCATCATTAACTTTTGTTAGGCTTTCATTTGATTGACTTAAAAATCACTATGGGGTCTACTAGGATGCAATTAGATTTGAAAATAAATGTTTTCGTGAGAAATTAAAGTAAGAAAAAAGAGCCTTTTCTAACAAAACTTAAATTCATAAAATTATTTAAATATATTTGCATATAATATCTTGATTGTAACATGACCAAACAAAATAAAAAGCAATGATAAATGATTCCCCGTAGAGTGGATAGTAGATGCAAAAACAGCACGGAATGCATATTACCTCAACTCTATTGGAGTAGCAATGAAGTTTGCTAGCATCACAGTTGGAGCATGGCAAAATGGTCCAAGGAATGCAATAGCCACCCCACAGAGGAATACAGTGACACCTATTTGAAAAACATTAGTACATCAAACAAATTATAGAAGAATGTTATTATTTCTCAGATATCTAATTAACAGCATATTTTTCTTCGTTCAATTGATTTGTGATGCATTTGGTAGGTTAAATCAGTTTATACTTTATGCTTGATTCTAGTTTCTGCTCAATCTTGAAATCATGCAGTTTTGGGATAAGGTTCGTAAGTGTGCAATTTACATGAGCTGCATCTCTATTCTCTAGATTTAATTGAAAGATATAATTTTGGAAACTAGAGAGAGAGAGAGACTAAACTGATTATGCTAGTTGCCTATCAATACTAAACTGTGCTTACCTAGGTATTGTAATCCAAACTAATGAATTTAAAATTGATTGTTCAAACCTCAAGACAAACATATGAACCATGTTAGACAACCAATTAAAAATCCTATCAGTCATTAACCTCGATGAACAGCTAGTCACCTTTTCTGTTGGAAATCAATTCCAATACTCCAACAGAAAATCAGTATTTGATGCAAAAGCCAAAATTCACTTTTGTCAGGAAAGGACCCAGCAGGTAAGTCTGGCTAAGTTTAGGTTCATGAAGGTTGATTCTCAACTTATCAACATATTTATCATTAGGAATAACTTGTTTCTAAGTTCCTCCTTTCGAAAGTTAACAACCATTATTAATGTTAACGAATGTGATGTCCAAGCATGTTAATCATTCAGGAAAGATTATGCATATTCTTTTCAACAATGCTGCAGTTTTAGATACAACCTGTTGTGAATGTGGTGCCAGTAATACACGTGGACAATATATACTGGTTATAAAAAAATAGTTGTTTCTATTTTGCTTTATCAGAATCATGAGTGCACTTGCTAAGAAAAAAGGAATTTATGAAAAAAGGCCCGTCATGATGACCAAGTTGAAAAAAATATGCGGACATCCAGCAAAACTCAAATTACTGAGGCTGACCAAGTTGGTCAATGCACCTTTCATTTTTCCCTAATTCAAAAGTTAGTGCAGCATAAAGTTACTCTTTATTTGGTTCTATACATAAAATACTGAATGCATCACCCCTCTAAGATGTCTATTGCTTTAGAAAATAACTCATCATATCACAAATCTGAAGCCATTTTTTCTTGTCAGCAATTACGACTCAAGTAAAAAATTGACGTTCTACATACTAAATTACTCAACGTTTATTCTCCTCCACGCTGAAATTTGTATTCACTTCACTGGATCCATAATAAATGTATGGGGAAAAGGATCTCCACTCTTATAAATCAGCAAGAAAATAAAGTTGAATTTGTAAAGATGCTGAGCATGAATGCTGGACAACAAACAGAACCTTATTCAATCTACATGTATGCAAGCAATAAGTGCTAGATACAAATTTAAAACATTAAGTTCACAACTCTCAGTACGATGTTGACAAGCAAAACCAATAAATCCTTTTCTAGGTTGATTCCAACATAAATGACGATATAATTCCAGGTAGGTTAATTTCAACATACCACATATAGGAAACACTCCCAATGTAATACCAAGAGCAGCAGAAAAAGCCAACTGGTTTGGTTCAGCTCCTCTGAAAAAGAAACATGCCAAAATTATCTAGCTACGGCTGTCTTCACAAGCCTATTTGTCATATCAAACATTAGATATTCAAAGATTTATAAAGGAAAAACAAGACACCAATTTCAATTCCATAAAAGCAATTGATATTTTATTTTCCAGCATAAAACACATTCTCGCATGGCTTCCCCAAAAGGTGGAGAAAAAGAATAAGCAACAAACCTGAATGAACATAGCCTAGGTCACTTAAAAATTTTCCCTTTTAATAAGATATACCCGTATATTACTTCTAGCCTAATTTGTTTTAGACAGGGAATAATTAAAATGAAGAACAAATTTATCATATATCTTCATAACTATAGCATGGGAAACCAAATTAAAAACAAAGTCGATCAAGAAAGAGAGGGAAAAAAACGAAATTTTTAAAGAGTACCTGCGGATAATGGAGATCAGGGGATCGGTGATCTTCTTTTGGAACCAATTGGTTGTTGCCATTTTCCCGTTGGCCATCTTCGTCCAAAGTTTTAAGTTTTAACTTCCAACTTCGAAAGTTATTCACTAAATTGAGACCCCACCCAAATGTTCCAAACAGATATTTAGGGTTTCTCTCACCACAAGAAGCCTCACTTTCAATCCAAAGAAAAATAAAATAAAAAATTGTAAAACTAATTACTCTGTATTTGAGGAAGAAAAGTACAAAATTTCAGCAATTTCATTAATTGATTGATTAAGAAAAACAGTGATGATCGATTTTTTTGGTTGGATTGAAAATTGAAAAATGACTATAGGGAATGACTTGCAGAAAAAAGCTGAAACATGGAGAGAAATGGAAGAGAAGTTAAATGTCTACATCCACGTGCTCAAAATTTGGATGCATGGATAGCTTTCCATACCTAACCTAACTGTTACCATAAGATGCAAGAAAAAAATTGAATATATATATATATATATATATATATTTAAATTAAATAATCCAAGATTTAAATAATAAAGACAACGCTCCTTGCAAACCAAGTTATCCACCGAATTCGCTATCAAGTGAAGATAAATTCTTAAATTATACTATTTTGTTTTAAAAATTATGTCAAAATATATAAATTATTTTTTATTTCACACTATGTGAAATTGATAAATACATCAAAACACAATTCCAAATCGACTAAAGAATACGTCTAAAACAAAACTCTATTTTCTTTTTTATTATTAATATTTTATCTAAAAATAAAAATATCTTATCATTAATTTTTATATTTAAGATATTATTTATTTTTAAATTTTAATTTATCTTTTATTTAAATTTTCTTTTTATCTGTAATAGATTCTAAATAATTAATAATAATTATATTTTTAATTATTTGTGATAAGTTATTGAAAAGCATAAGATAAGTTATTATTTAAGATAATTGTATTATGAAAAAAGAAGAAGGAGGAGTTGACATAGTTAGTATTTATTATCTTGGATAAAATTTTTAATATGAATTTATTATTTTTACGAATAATAGCGGTGAATCTTTATTATTAAATTTAGAAAAGTTAAATAATATATTATTAATAAATAATAAATAAATATAAAATAAAATAAAAAAATAAAGAAGTGAAAAAATAAAATTATAAATATATATTTAAATATATTAAATAATTATTAAATTTAAAAAAGACAAAATAGAGTTATAAATTAAAAATAAATTAAAAAATAAAATTATAAATATATAAATAATATATTAAATATTTATTAAATATAAGAATAACGAAAATTACAAATTAAAAAAGAGTTAAAAAATAGATAAATGTGTGTAATGTGATGCAATACCATATTTAAATTATTATCCGTATGAAATGAAGTCACATCGCAATCCCATCAAGCAATCAGTGAGAGGAGGAAATTGTGTTTGTGTAGCTGTCATCCTCTTATTCTCTTTCCATCATTGCCAACTTCAAACAAATTAAATAAATATTTGAAATACTACACTATCATTTTAAATTATAATAATCATATTTTTTTAAAATGATGAATAGTGAAAAATTCTTCAAATATTTAAAAATTTTATATGCACAAAATATGAAATGAGAAGTTTAATAACTATTATTATAAAATGTGTTGAGTTAAAATTATTAAAGCTATGATTGACTCATTTGGAAAGTTACATACAACTCACCAGTGGGACATCCTTGGAAACTTACAATGCCTGCTCAAGTTTCACGTGAGTTTGCAGGGAAATAATTGAATATGAAGACAAAAAAAGTGTTGTTGTTTGTGTTCCAAAGAAATAAAATTCCATGACAACATTTACTCTAAATAGAAAAGATTAATTTTGAGTGAGCTTATGAACAAAATAATTATATTTTTATTTTGAAGAATGATATTTTGACAATTAGAAATCATATAATTCTTCAAATAATTCATTTTTTATTAATATAATATTATATAGAATGATTTAATAAAAATAAAAATAAAGTAAAAAAATAAAAATAAAGTAAAATTATTATTATAATATTAAAAGATATAATATTATATAGAATGATTTAATAAAAATAAAAATAAAGTAAAACTATTATTATAATATTAAAAAAAAATTGTTCTTTAAATAATTTATTTTTTATTAATATAATATTCTATAGAATGATTTAATAAAAATAAAAATAAAGTAAAACTATTATTATAATATTAAAAGTGAGTTGTATTATGGATTTGGTTAGTGAAATTATCATTTGGACTTGAACTGACTATATAAGATAAGATACCATGAAGATGGAGATGCCTGTATATATACATATATGCTAGTGAGTGTTAGATGAGTGTGGATAGATAAAGAATGGCTTCTATACATGAAAAATTTACCGAAGTTTTTTGTTCTTGTATTTGTGACCAATGTTTTATCTTCTTTCTTCTTGCTATTGTTGTGTTGAAGCTAGCAAGAAGAGCCAAAATCAAAGCCAATATCAATCTGCCTCCATCCCCAAGAAAGCTGCCAATCATTGGCAATCTTCATCAGATAGGACCATTGCCATACCGCTCTTTCAGAGCCCTCTCACAAAAGCATGGTTCTCTGATGTGGTTGCAGTTGGGGCAGACTCAAACTTTGGTGGTTTCATCACCAGATTTGGTCAGGGAAATCATCCAAACTCATGACTTAATTTTCTCAAACCGACCCAAATTCACAGCAGCAAGATACATCTTGTATGGATGTAATAACATTGGTTTTGCTTCTTATGGAGAAAGCTGGAAACTGAAAAGAAAAATATGTGTCCTTGAACTTCTTAGCTTCAAAAGGGTGCAGTCATTTAGTGTCATCAGGGAAGAAGAGGTTGCAGAACTGGTTAGAAAGATAAGTGAAGCAATGATGAGAGATGCATCCTCTATGAATCTAAGTGAGTTGCTCCTTGAAGCAGCAGACAACATCATCTGTAAATGTGCTCTTGGAAAGAAGTACACTAACAGCAGGATCAAAGAGCTTGCAAGGAAAGTAATGATTCAACTTACAGTTGTCACTGTAGGGGATCGCTTTCCTTTGTTGAGCTGGGTTGATTCTCTAACTGGAAGAATTCAGCAATTCAAGGCCACTTTTAGAGCATTTGATGCCTTATTTGATGAGGTAATTGCAGAGCATAAGAAGGTGCAGAGGGAAGCTGATCACTGCTCCACTGAGAAAGACTTTGTGGATATCCTCCTCCAACACCAGAAGGGTGGCATGCCTGACTCTCAGCTCACCAACAATGACATCAAATCAATTCTATTGGTTTTCCACTTTTTCTCTTATATTGCGTTCTTTTGATAATATGTTATTTTATTCAAACATTTTAGCTGACTCACCCACCAACACGAACACAACAAGTATCCAAGTCATAATTTAAATATACATTTTGGTCTTACAAAGCTTTTGTCTATCCAAATTAGTTCTTCAAGAGATGAAATTAATAGTGAGTTGACAGTTTTTAAGGACTAATTTATAGATGTGGATCTTGAGAGATCAAAACATTATATGCTGTCACTTTAGATCAAATTTTATATATATATATTTAAGTTGTTATAGGTATAGTGGTTTGGATGATTTATCTCTGGTGTGGACCTAGTTAAGGCTTATGATTGGAGATGGCTAAGGTAACTAATTAAGGAAACAAAATACTTGGAACTTTTGTATCCCAAACAAAAGGTGGAGTTCAGAAGTATTACTAATACTATATTTATAATTTCAGGATATGTTTGCAGCAGGAAGTGATACAACTGCATCAACACTAGAATGGGCTATGACAGAGCTGATGAGAAATCCAATGAAAATGAAGAAAGCCCAGGAAGAGGTGAGAAAAGTTGTAGGGCATAAATCAAAAGTAGAAGAAGATGACATAAACCAAATGGAGTACATGAAATGTGTAGTCAAAGAAACTCTAAGGATGTATCCAGCAGCTCCTCTCTTGGCTCCTAGAGAGACATCATCTAATGTGAGAATCAGAGGATATGATATTCCAGCAAAAACACTGGTATATGTTAATGCATGGGCAATTCAGAGGGACCCTGAACTCTGGGAAAGGCCTGAAGAGTTCATTCCAGAGAGACATGGTAATAACCAGGTTCCTTCCAAAGGCCAATATATTCCATTTGGTTTTGGGAGAAGGGCATGCCCTGGAATGACCTTTGGACTTGCTTCTGTTGAGTATATGCTGGCCAACCTTCTTTATTGGTTCAATTGGAAGCTCCCTACATCTTATACATCTGCACAAGACATTGACATTACTGAGAGATACGGCCTCGTTACCTCCAAAAAAATGCCACTTCATCTCAAACCAGTTCCATTTTCATTTTGAGCCATGTTTCTAATTTACTTCAAAGTCATTGTGATGATATGTGTCATCTTTGCTTTTGTGTAATGATTGCTAATTGGTTGTTCATGTACTCATGTTGAGGAAGATTATGTATTTAAGGTGTATGTCTTATTTCAGAAATGTCATTTCCTATATTCTCTCTCATTTAGAACTTGATGAATAGATGAGGTGTTATTGAATCAAGTATGCTAAAATATTGATGCAATTCAGTTATCTGAAAGTTGGCCAATGCATGGTGGTTTCTCAAGTAAAAGACATATTATATAGACAAGATATTAAATGAATATAGTGTCAATGCTTCTTTCGTCTTTCATTAATGACAAGAATCATTATATACTTGTATCTTCTTTCTATGACTTCAATAAAGGAGACAGCATGATTAACAATAGAAAGTTGATAGGTGGACAACTCACCATGGAGACACTCGTGATATCAAATTTTTTATTTGAGAAGAAAAGGGCAGGAAAAGTACGTAGAAGGAAGAAGCACGATAGTGGAAGATGAGTCTTTGGTGGGACTTTATCTAAAATAATTCAAACACTGTTTCACTAAATTAAAATATAAAATAAAATATGAAATCACATTTTAATACTTCACCTTTTTGTTCAATTATGTTTCAGAAAGCATAACATATTAATTATTTATTTATTATTTTTAAAAATTATTTAACAACTATCTTTGATAAAAAAAATTAAACTGATTATTGTTTTTTAGTTTTTAAAAATTTAAAATCAAAATCGATAATTATTTTATTTTATTTTTATTAATAAATAAATGTCTTTTAACTCATAATTATATTACATTATCTATCTTATTTAAGTAAATTTTTAAAATTTATCCATTCAGATAATCTTTAAAAAATGTACTCCAATATGTAAACATCTACTATGGCCCCACCTTATGTCTGAATAAATATTTTCATAAATACTTTAAAAATATTATTCTAATATAGATTTTTTAAAATTAATGTAATATAATAAAATTTTAGACAAAATAAAATAAAAATCGTATAAAATAAGTTTTACAAATTAATTTATACATAAGAAGATTTTAATTTATAAAATAAACTAATTTGAATTTTTATTATTTGATCATAAATACAAAGAAATTCATTAAAAAAAAAAACCCTATATTTTCGATCAAAGTTCCCAAATTTCCATTCCTATTTCCTACACATGCTACGATTCAGTCCAAATTTGAAGTTTTGATTTAAAGAATTAATAAAAGTTAGCTATTATTCAACTAAAATTATTGCTTACAATTTTCTTCTCCAGATCACGGGATGACTACATTTGTCTTCAACTAAGATTCCAAAATTCCATTCCTCCTTTTTATCTTCAAACCATGTCACATGGATGCAGCAATTGATATTGTAGCATGAGCACGTAAGAACTAAGGAAAACACAAAAACCTCAAAATAATAATCATGTCCATGTTGGACACTTTGATTACTCAAAACCGCATTTTATAGTTTTACTTTACCTTCAAACTCTCGCTGACATAAATAGTAATTTTACAGTAACATTTTATACATTATAATAACTCGCTCATTTTAAAAATGTTACATTAATATTAATTTCATACTAACTTGATATTATAGTTGTCATATGTTTTCAAGTTCACCGTATCTCTCTGCTGTATATATTGTGTCGTATGATCCATACTTTCAAGCTAAGGAACCTTGGTGCCCAACACTATGCTGCCAAAAATTTCATTAACGATACAGCATTAAGAACTTGATTTTTTTTATACCTAAAAAAGACACACTAATCATCCTAAAGGCTAGAGCGTAAACCTGCATGATATATTCCTTTTTTTCCCACGCAGTATCAAATGCTACCAAAAGATGAATGAAAGGATTAGTATTTTAATCATCACAACATATGATACATCTCTACAATTCTTTAAACAAATTTTTAGCGTGGTAATGAATAACCCTCTTCAAGACATTGTATCTTGATATCTTCCATTAGGCGTTGAAGAGAAGTTGGGTTGCTCGTAACAATAGCATCAACATGTTCAAACAACATCTTTCGCATGGATTCTACATCATCAACTGTCCAGGCATACACCTTTTTGTTCCTCCTGTTCACCACAATGCAAAATATGGTAAAAACTTGTATTCGTGCTGCAAGTTGCCGGATGCTAATTACTTCAATAAAAAACACTACCTGCGCAAAACTGTCATAAGCTTTTCATTAATCAAGGGATGATAGACACCAACAACCTCCGCTCCTTTCATTCTCAACAAGTTTGTCTTAGCTCCAGTAGAATGTTCTCTCATTACAATGTAGCCAACCTGCATCATCCCATACAAAATAGTAATATCAAAACATGCGAAGACATGCAAATAGAGCTAAATAAACTGCTTCTTACAGTAATTTCTGACGAGAGTTTAATTACATCCCTTGCTATATTGTCACTTTTAGCCCATATGACGCAGTTGAAGCACTCTGTCTTCTCCACCTGAAACAGAAATATTGTTATGACCCGTGAAAACTAGATGCCCACAAAGGCAGAAAATACTTTGAAGAAAACCTAAAGACACTTGCCACCAGGGCAGAAGAGACGTAATGTAGAGGGATGAATGCGATTAGGGTTCATGCCAACAGGTTCATCAACATCTGTTAGATCAATAAGACCACAATGGTGACCCAGTACACACAGCACATAGAGTCTTGATGAGAACATGATTAGGATTGAAGATGATCAAGGAATCACTACAAGGAACATGGCTAAAGAGAGGAAAGGAGAGAGAAAGACTTAGTTTAAAAGAATTTAACTCCTCTTGAAAGCATTCAATCCAAGAACTCAAACAATTCCATTGAAGAGTTAGAGTAGAGATTGAAGAACATAGAAATCTTCTTTGTAATAATATAACTTTCATGTTTTAAAATAACTTTCTAGAACAAGATAGTTAAGTGTCATTAACTAACTCTAACTAATTTGGAAGTTAGAGCTAGTTAATGCACTAACTACCAATCATTGCCTTGACCATAGGAGTTGGAACTCCCACACCCTAGTTAGCTTATTAGATCAGTCTCAATCTTGTATTCTCTACCACCTAGGTTAGTTTTGGTTAGCTTCTTAAGCACACTTCTATTGATCTATAAATAAAAGAGCATCTTCCATGAACAAACTACACTTCCGATAAATGAAATTATATATTTTTGAGATTTTTAGTGTTTTGAGAGTTAGATACTCTTAACTTAGGTTCTTTATCTCGGACATCATATGGTAAAACAACATTGCACTTATTCTTCTTGCTTCAGGACAGATGGCGTGTTCTAATAATCTCTTTCCTTTCCATGTTTTCAATTTCACTTTTTGCTACTGTGTATTTTCTACTCTGGCAGAAAAAAAGATAGAAATACTAGATTTACGCCATTTGTTTGAGAAAAAAAGAAAAGAGAAGTTATTCCAAGCATAAAAAAAAAAAAAAAAATATCCTCCTACAGTTGAATGAAATGGGAGGGAAATTATCTCTCTCTTCCTTTTCTTTTCTTTTCTTTTTGTAGTATTTAACAATGATAAAATAATTTATAAAAAGAAATATATAATTTTATGCTAACAATATTAACAAAATACATTTTTTAACTATTATAAAATATTTTTCATATGACTATTCAATTCTTTCCATTATCTAAACATGCAGAAAAAAATTCCCTCACTTCCTATTTCTATACATCCAAACAACATACATTTTTACTCTATTTTTCTCTTGCTTTTATCATTCCTATTTCATTCCTTCCTATTATTTCCTCTGTATTTCACTCCTCATTTAAGCAAATCATAAAGAAAAAAGGAACTTAAAATCACCATTAGATGGACATGTAAGGCACAGAAGTAGTATACTTACAACAGAGAGAACATCTTTGGCAAGCTCTTTCTCAAACAATGGAGGTCCAACTTTAACATCTAGAATTATCTGACGAACTGAATCTACAGTCAACTGAAAATAAGTACAGTAGACCCACAGTAAAAAATATAATAAATAAGATGAAGCAAGTATATGGTGAAAGGGATAGATATAAAATTATTCAAGAAATCAGTAGGGAAAAAAAGAAAGAGCATTTACTGAATTTTGGGATCATACCTTCAGAGCATCTTGGATTGTGAGTACAGTTTCATCAGTAAACTTTGAGCTAGACATATGAGAAGGACTAAGCTCTCTTATCTACAGAAATAAACTGAACACAATCTTAGTCAATGTTACTCCCTTTTAGAGTATGAAAGCATTCTTAGTAAGGGAGAAAAAGAATGACGAAAATGTTTTTAAAATGTATGTACTAAATAGTTTTTGGGAGAAATGATCAAACATAATGAGATTTTTTTTTCTCGATTTTATTAAATGCAAATATCATGATTGCTGAAAGCATCTCCAAAAACCTCACGGGGGACTAATATTGTCTGTTAAATCATAACTAAAAGCATTGCATGCCAAAATTTACAGCTAGTAGCTACAGCACGACCAAAATGGCTTGCCAGGAACTAAGTATCCCTTGGCTGACGGCCGTGATTGGTTCAATATCTAGCAGTTAACATGCTCCCCCTTTGTGCGAGAGCTCTTCAGGCTGGAAGCATGGACAATGCCTTCTTTTGAAATTCAATTACATTACTAGAATGGGAGTGGCAAGGTTGAATTCTAGATCACATGGTCGCTTTGATAGTTGCAACAGCGTAAGTGATTGAGTGACGGCACATAAATGCTCTTTTTTTAATATCAAACATTGTTTTGTTGTAACCGAAGTACTTCCATGGCCAACAGCAATCAGTGCATCAGATAAATAAATAATGACATGTATATGTGCGCACATACAAGTAAGGAAGTATCTTAAAAACCTTGCATACTGATGAATCCTGACACTATTACTCAACTACCATTGAGGGGTTATGTCAAATGAATGGTTACTTTCTTTTGTTTGTATAGGTTCTGCTGACATGAACTCTTGAGCAAACACAGACAAACATGTCTCAATTACACCTGTTTTTTTAATTCTTAATACCAATAAGATACTGGCTTGATTACAGTGGTAGATGAATAAACTCTTATTATGAAAGTCTCATATTAATACAGCCATTCATCAATAAAAATGAGCTTGCAACAACAAAAATGCAGTTAACTTCTGTGCTTAGAAAATGATGGACCTTCTAGGAAAACAAAACTAGAAACCCCAAAAAAAATACATTAACAGCACTACAAAAAGGTTGCATAAAATGAAGCCTGCAAGTCTCACCTCTTTTGAGCTCATGTAACCAACTTTTAAACTAGTATTTCCAGTTAACCGCTGCAAATCCCTGCCTGCATCGTGTGAGAATGAATCTCAAAGTGGTTATAACACTATCTCTTTATGCAACAAGATTTAACTCAATAGAAAAACAATAATAATTAAAATAAAAAAAAAAGAAACAGCAAAAGGCTAACACCTTAATTTTCTTGGCTAAAATAGAATCCGGGTCCCTTAGCAATATCTAAATTACAGTTTGGCCATTTAAGTCTAAAAGTTTCACCTTGGTCCCTTAAAATTGTTCTGTTAAACCAAGTTAGACCTTTCATTAATTTATCACACTAATTTGGTCAAATTAGTGACACATGACAAACTGTGAGGGATAATGTCCCGTTAGTCAAGATTGATACCCTTAACGACAAAAATGATCGAAAAGACTAATTTAATCTAATACAACACACTATAAGTATTAAAGTGAAACTTTTTACATTTAAGAGACCAAACTAAAATCTAATGGACGTAAGCGAACAATATTCTATTTTAGCCTAATGTTTTCAAATAAGATAGTACCGCATCTAATTGAGTTAGCAAGTGTATTTCAAGAAGTTTCACTGTGCCTTTTATAAGAGACCATAGTCAAACTTCTTAAATTTTAAGGAATGAAACTGAAACCTAACCAAATTTTAGCTTAGCTTTCTCAAATTTGATAGTGTTTCATATACTAGAGTTAAGAAACACGTTTATATCAAGGTGAGCCTATGTAAACTTATCAAGGTGAGCCCATGTAAACTAACCAGTGATCACAATAAAACCTCAAATACATGACAAGTATTTTCATGAAATTTCCTGAGACTTCTCAGCACCAGAAGTGAGATAGAAAATGGTTTCAACAATGCTAGTACAGAAATAGAGTTAACGACGTTGAGAAGAAGGTATAAGTACCTGTCGTGAAGAGCAAACAGAACTCCATCTGCAGAACGAGAAACGTCGATCTCAATGCAATCCGCGCGAGACTGAATAGCGTGGAAATACGACCCCATCTGAAAGCAGAAAAGAATCCAAAATCAGCAACCATAACATAAATTGAAATGAAAAAGGCAAAACGAAGAAAGGAAAAAACAGAAGAATCCGAGATTAGCATCTGTAACAGGAAATTAAAAAAAAAAAAGGTTAAACAAAGAATCTTAAATTTGCAACAATAATATGAAATGAAAAAAAAAAAAGGTTAACAAAGAATCCGGATTAACAGTTATAAAATGAAAGGAAAAACGTAAAACGAAGAAGAGAGAGGGAGAAGGTCACGGTGTTGGGAGGAGCCTTGGACGAATCGCCACCGTGAGCGCATACAAGAGGAGGATCGTTGAGCCAACGGCACTTGATGAGTTGAATCTGCGGTGCAGCGATTGTTATAATAAAGAATTACAAAGAATACTGAAAACGGCGTAGTTTTGAAGAATTTAGCTGAGCACAGAGCGAGTGAGAAGAGAATCGAACCTGGTGGAAGCGTCGGAGGCGAAAATGGAAGAAAATGGGAGGAAGAATGGCGAAGATGACGAGAGAGAGAACGATGACATTCCGCGAAGGAAGCTTGAACGGTCTGCCTGCCGTTCGAGATCTCGAACTCTGCATCATTGCTCGTCTCGTTTCTTTCTGGAGTTGGTGGTGAAGGCGACGACGCAGTGCAATGGCAGAACTTACCCAATTTTATCGCAAGATTATTAAATCATAAAAGTAAAAATAAAAATTAAAAAAAAAAAGGTTCTATGATATTCCATTAGAACAAAAATTATATAAGAATTAACTTAAATATAAAAAAATCCATATAAAATGAAATATTTATTAGTTGAACTCTTAAAGTAAAAATTACTTTTAATTTCTCTAAATTTGAATTTTTTTATCCATATTATTTTGAGCTGATTTATTTATTTGTGCTTATCTTTAAAGAGGTATTATTAAAAGAGTACTTTTAATAAAATAAATAAATAAATAAATTTCTAAGCAAATCATATTTCCTAAAAATGTAACATTTGCTTCTTAGTTAATAATTATTTATTTTAAAATATTTATTTAAAATTTGACCAACATATTTTTATAATCATTATTTATTTATGACATGTTTTCGTAATAAATAATAGAACGAGGTAAAACAGATTAATTCATCAAATCTCTAATTTATAAAAAATTGAAGTAAAAAGGATTGGGACGAGATATAACTCGTCTGATATCCCGATAATAAGTTAATCTATCAAATTCTTTTTATATATAATATATATTTTTTAATTATAATTTTAATTATATGAATAATTTTTAAATTTATATTTATTAATTAATATTTTTATTAGATAAATTAAAAAAATATTATATTTATATGTTAAAATATTTAATTATAATTAATAATTTAAATTTAAAGTTAAATAATTAATATTTATAATTTAAATTATAATATTATAATATATGTATATATTTTAATAATATAACATTAAAAATATATAATATTTTTAATTATAATATTTGTTTATTTTAATATATAAATATATTTTTAAAATTAGTCAGTCTCTTTTATCTTATTTTTAATTTGTCAAGTTGAAAAGTAGAGGAGAAGGTTAAAATGGACTGAACAAAACTACCAAATCAACCCGTGTGGTCATCTAAAGAGTGACAGAGACAAGAAGTGATGTTGTTCTAATTGTTGTATAAAATGCTAGATCATATCTAAAAGACAAGCTACAATGAGTTGTGTAAGGAATAGTTCAAAGTTGTGGTTACCTTATGTAAGTAACTAAACATCACAGGCATGAGTTATATAATATTGATGCTCTTTTTGCCAATGATATGTTATACACTACAGATGGCAATTCCGTCTGTTTCTAAAACATCTTGGAGATGTATTTGTTGTATATTATTGAAGCTGAGAAAGTAGTATTGGTTGGCTTGTAGTTATTTCTAAGTTTATGGATGATGACATTTAGAAATAGTGACCAAAACAGAAATCATGATAATTTGAGATGCTCCAGAATTGCTGAAATATCACAGTCCTCATAGCTCTTCTCTGCATAGATAATGTTGGGGCTATCTTGGAAGAACACATCTTCTCTCTTGTAACTGTCTTCACTCCGAAGAAGCCTTTCACTGCCACATTCAACAGCCCCTCTCAAAACAAGTGTCTTCTGTATGCCAGCCATGAGTTCTTCGTAATCTGTATCTCCTTTTTCTCCCACAAGTACAACCACTTTGGATAGATCAATTCCCCACTTGACTGACAGATACCTAAATGCATAGACAAGAACAACAACATCATAAGGCCTACACAGTTTCACATCTAGTTTTATGCACCTTTGAAGTTCCTACATATAACAAGAGTTAATAATGTTCCTCACCTTAGTGCTTGTTTTCTTGAAGCAAATAGTGGTATCACATTCAATCTCAATCCTGCATGAGTGTAGACAAGGTTACATCGTAAGCCTCTCATTCGAAGCCTTTGCCGAAGCTCATCTATCTTCCGGATCTGCGATTTGTGGTCATAAATTGAAAGTTAAACATCTAAGAAAGGTTCACTTGGTTCCTATAGTTGTCTCTATTTTAAGTTATAGTCTCTATACTAGAAAGCCAAAGATGTATTTCTTGTGGTCTATATTTTATAAACATTTCTAAGAAAGAAAAAAATAACTATGACTAAAATAGAAAACTGCGTAGGAACTAAAACTTTCATTCTTCTCATATAGGAACAATGACAGGATCAAGTGAATAGTTTAACTTTTAAAAACTCTTATCAAAGAGGTAACCTTTTCAACAAGCAAAACTGACTCAATTTTCTTAAGCAACAATTTATCTTACCATGGCTTCAGGTTTCACAGTATAGGAGTAGCACCTTGAACTACAAGCACTGGCATACTCTACAATGTCATTCTCTTCTTCATCATCAATTCTAGCAAGCCTGGATATTGATGATCTAATATTCTCACCTGGCCATGCATACTCAACATGGGCCTCATAATCAGCATCAGGCAATAAATCTTTCCATGGATAGTACATTTCACTTCCACTATTGCAAACCACAGCATCCAATTCCTCTATGTTAACTTGGGACCTGTTCAATGCTTCAATTGTCTCTTGTAAACTTAAACCAGTTAGCAGCACCACACCAATCCTGCCTGCTCTAACACCTGGTCGCACGACTTTCATCACATTCAAGATAATTGTCTGAAAAGCCTTAGCTATGTTTCCATCATTATCATAACAATCAGCAGCTACCACCACAAGACTTTGCCTCCTACCAGGAAAGTAACTGGCATTAGAATTGCCAGTGGAAGAGACCCTGCACATGATTGCTTCAATAATTTGCTTCTGCCGTGCTGCAGGGTCCATCTCTCCATTCAGCTTGGAGTCTCCTTCAGTGGAGAATCTAAATGAAATGTCTTCTACATCTCTCAGTGAGTCACTAATTGGTTCTTCAGCAATGGGTGTAATTTCCGAGAGAGAGGTGGAGCGGCGGTTCCTGCCATGTTCAACATGGGAGAGGTAGTTGCGGCAGTGTTCAGGCCATGAAAAACGATGGATGTTTTTAAGGCCGTTTTTGCGGCATTCTAGCCAAAGATTTTTGTCTGCAACAAGCTTTAGCAGTGCCTCTTCTATGGCTTTCTGGTCATGTGGATCAATCAAGAGTCCATTGTTGAGTGCCTGCAATGATATGTAATATGATGAAATAACATAAATATATACATAGAAGATTGCTTGCTTTGCTATGAAATATAAATTAGGGGGTTGAGAGTTTTGATATTTGATATTGACAAGATAAGCCTGATAAGAAATTGACTACTTGTCTGAAAATAAGAAAGATGTTGTTGTTAGGTAAACATTAAAGGCATATAGTTGAGATGTAGTGATTGTATTAAATGCATGTAGTTGAGGGTAGTAGTTGTATTGAATGAATATAGTTGACAGGCCATATCTAGAGGTCTATAAATTGACCATGTACCTCTTATTGCAAAAACACATCAAGTAATAATATACAAAGTGCTTCATTTAGATACTTGTTTGTCAACAGTTGTAAGTGAGATGTAAAAATAGGAGAAAATGGATTTATGATTTATAGTATACCTTCAGAATATCCACTGGCCCTCCATTTTTTGTTGCAACAACAGGTAAACCATAAGCTGCTGCCTGTAATATGGGAAGAACAAGAAAGCAATGTAATTTTCCATATAGTGGATTATGGATATCGTATTTCATAAGCTGAATGTTACTGAGCCCATTAGCTATATGAAAAGTGACATCTTAAGATTTAGTTTTGTGGCTTACCTCTATTAGTGTGAGACCAAATGGTTCCACCAGGGCAGGGTTGATAAACACTCCCTTCAAGAGACAAAACCCCCATGTGTTACTGTTAGAAAGTATAATGTTCAAAAACGACAAAGCAGTTAAAGTCAGATAAGTGTTAAGACAACATTTAGGACATGTTGATTTGATTAGTTAGCAGATGACTTCAATAGGACTGAGAAGTACGCCCAAACTACTTTGAATTTGAGTTTTATGCTTCCATCAATGTAACCTACTTTCTCATTAGTTGAAATATTGTTTTTATCTTCTAATTAGTTTGTAAAAACAAAAACTCAATTTCACATCTTATCAAAGTCAATACATAATTAGGTGTTATCAATTTTTCGTCAAAAGAATGCACCTTAGTCTTTGCAGCCAGACGATATATCTCTGGAACTTGAGATTGCTTGTGATGCTTGGGGTAAGCCACTTGACCATACAAATCATACTTGTCAATGAGCTTGAGCACCATGGTAAGAACAGTAGAGCTGCTGTTGGACATTTCTTCTATGTCATCTCTGTTGCCAAGTATGAGGGTCTGCCATAAAAGTAGAAAGATGTCACTTGATCACATGCTCATAATCATATGGCAAACCTACATTTTTTTTTTCAAACACATGGAAAACTCACCAAGTTAGCTAGTTTCCTTAGGGCCTGGCATTCCCCAAAGGCCTTGAGCAAAGTCATGACATTTTTCTTCGGGTCAGGGCGGGACAAGGCTAGTATTGTTGGTTTGTGAGGATTTGTGAAAAATCTCATTATCTGCATGGCACAACACACCTCATCTTTAGATACTGTTAGGCATCAATGATAACGATACAAAGTTACATTTCTTCATTTTACAAGTATTTCTTGTATAATCACAATATTTACAAGTACAACCAATCAAACAATAAATTTCACCCTGAAGTTTTTAAAATATTATTTAGAACTTTTCATTTGTGGTGGTGAAAAAATGGTACTGTAGGGAAGATTGCAAGACCTCAGACCCAATTGGAGGTAGGTTCCTTTTGCTTTGAGCTCTGTCAGATCCAATGAGTGAGTTGAGATCCCCCTCACCTTCCACTGTGTCTTGTGTTGTAACATAGCTGAAGTCCATGCCTGGTGGAATGACCTGATGACAAGATTAAGCAGGACACACTTTAGCATCTGTGAACACTGTTTGACAAGATAACACCATCAAGAAAATGGTGACATTGTGCATACCACCATCCTTGGCATTTGTCTCCCAAGGCAACTCACTCCACGTCTTCTCCTCACCCTAAGCTTCCTCTCCAACTTGAGATCAAACCCATCATACAATCCCCATTGCTCTTCAATCTCTTGCCTTGTGCTAGTGACGATCATTTCAGCAGCATCCACACCAAACTCCTCAGCCTCAATCCTCCTCATGATCTTGTAGGTTGAATTTATGGCCTCCCTAGAGAGCCTCCCTTGCTTCAGCAACTGCTCAAACTTGTTCCGGCCTAACGAGTGGCCGGTGAGCACCATAGGCACATTCAATGCTCCAGATAAGTGTGCTGCTACCTCCCCACCATCAGCATAGTGACCATGGATAACATAAGGCCATGCTGGCTTTCCACCATTCACTTGCTCCCCCAAAACTCTTACCATGTTCACAATGTGACTCAGAGCACCATCCACAAATTCAGGTAAGTGAGGCCAAAGGGATTCTTTTGGTATATACCTGCATGAGCATGAGTAAATGCATACTACTTATCAAGTTCCATTTTATGACCTTACCCCAAAACGAAACTAATGTGTAATAATTACTTATCACGAGGTCCACAAGGAAGACGAATGATATATGCTCCCCCACAGTCACTGCTATCAGAGGGGTAAGACAGCGTCTCAATAGGCTCTCCATAGCTGGAGTCCACTTCTCCTGGTGAAGCTATTTGTCTAGTCAATAGATCAACACGGTAAACTCCTTTTGTGTTGGCTAGAGCACGAGCAAGTTCCACTACATATTTCACCTGAAATTGAAGCAAAAAAAAATAAGGATATGCGAGGACATTATTCTCCTGTGTCACATTTTCCAATGAAGAGGAGAATAATAGCAAGAAAAAGTTTATTATGCTAAGTTTGGTTCTTCACAAAGCAAAATATTAGAGCCATAGAACAAAAGAAAGGTTACTAAACAATTTACTATACCTAAACTCAAAATTAGTACATAGTCTATACATTAACAATATAAAGAGTTCACATTGTCATCTGATCACAAGTTGTTATATATGATAAGCATATTAAATTTTACAATAACTACTTTAAAAGTCATATTAACGATGATGTCTGATTGATTGATAGTGTAAAATTTCTTCATTTACAGTTCATAAAATTTATAGTCAATGAAAATTGGCCATGGAATAGAAATGTGGCTGTTAAAGTAAGCAGTTACCTGACCACCAGTATCAGAATCTCTCCCAAGTTCCATATTATCACCTCGTACCAAACCATGAATACTACAGTGACAACATTAAAACTGTGAAAATAATAACTAAAAAGTTGTCAATTTCAATGCCCTGATGAACTGTTTAATGAACGGATACAGGAATCAAGTAGTATTGTGAGAGGTAAAATCTTTTCATTTGGGTTCAAGAATGTCTTACTTGGATTAGCTTTTCATTGTCACTGAAATATAAATTATTCCTTGTTAAGTTTTTCACATATTTAAAATTCAGTTAAATCAATGCAGTAGTTGTTGAATTGAACTATTTGAAGGCTTTAAGTAAGTCTCTGTATTTTTAAAGTTTGTAATTGGTTTTGCATTTAAATGTACAAACATTTTAAATTAAAATTGAGTTAAATTAAATCCACACAAGCATACAATTAAAAAGGAATATGTTCAAAAATAAGATAAAGTGTAAACTACTTATAAGTATGAAAAAAATGAATTTTAAAAAAAAGAGTCAATACTGAAAACTGAACTGAGAATATGTTCAAAGGAATTTTTGACAGGGTGACATGCATGATGACATTAAGTATGCATTGGTGACAGAATGAATGAATGAATTATGAACATAATACCTGATTAGGACAATATAAAGGTTCCTAGAGTTATCATCCTCCGACCAAAGTTGCATTTCAGAAGTGATTCTGGAAATATTATCCTTGACATGAGGATTGGCATCACCTTTTTCTTTCTCACCTTCAGAGAGCTCAGAAAGGTCATTTGCAGCATCATTACGTCCTTGTTCACGATCAAGACGCCTTCTTGCAAGCCTTTGAGCATCATCCCATGCAATCTGCACCAACAATTCATGCATATAAAATTATTCTCCCCCACTACTTTACTATTTGGCCATACACCCCACACATAATTCTTTGCATTGCATTGACAGTACTGTGGAATTGAATTAAAGCTAAACGATTGTTCTACAATAATTAAGCCTAAGTTTGATATTACATATAAGAGGATTGAACTCCTTTGAAGTGATGAAAGTTAAAAGAGGCAAGTACAAGTCATTCTTATCCTTAATCCCCCATTTGAAATTTATTACAAACAGTTTATAAACACTCTTATCTTTTAATTCACCTTAGCGTACACAAAATCTAATCAAGATTTCAAAATGGACAATATTTGGTAAGCACTAAATATCATGGCAAAAGAAATTAGTGACAGTGACCTGTTTCTTTTTGCGAGTGAGATGCCATATGCGCCAGCACATATTCTCCAACCTGTTACTACGTTCACGGATATTCCTTGTAGCTATTACCTGCATCATGCATCATCAATCTTCATTATTCATGCTTCTACACAAACAATTTAATGTACAATGCATCTTCTTCCTTTTCTTTCTAACCAACCATTTTCCACTTTACTCTAACTCTATCTTACTACCAATATATTCTATTCTCTGCATGCCAAAAGAATTTTCCCACTCACTATGCCAAATCATATTCATGCTAGTGTGTGAGGAAATCCTGTTATTTTTCCCTGCAAAATCATATTTCATATACCTTTTTTCTTTCTGTCAATTGGTGAACTTGATCATCTTGTTGCTATCTCCCACCCCACCTAAAGTTTTCACAAGCTACAATTTCTCCCTTTCCGTAAAAGTGGTCCCAATCTAACCAAACTATTTTTTTATTTTATTATAAAACATCCAAAATAATATCTAAAATTTGAAACATTTGACAAAAAAATAATCAAATCACTCCTATCTCTTAATATTCAATCCCTCTAAAATATAAGAGCATATAAAATAAAATAAAAAACTAGTTTTGAAACATAGTAATAAAAAAATCAGAGACTAAAACAGAGGGAGTGGGAAAATTTAGACAAACCTTAACCCAGGTCCTGTAAAGGTCATGTTCATCAAAGCTATTGACAACTTCTTCAACAAAGTACTTGGTGGTGGGATTAAACAACTTTTCTTCCTTCACATCTTTATCATCTTCATGAAACTTTGCAATCTTCACCTTCTCATCATTTTTTTTCTTCTTCCTCACACTGCTTCCCACGTCCAATATGGCCTCCAAATAACCATTCAGCCATTCATTCACAGCAGCCATGTTTGACGAAAACACAAGAAAACCTCTTCACTTTCTATTCCACTTCAAACTCAGTGGCATCATTCTATCATTCTTTTCTGCATGCTTTGTAACTCAATATCATTGCTGAATAGTGCATATAAACAAATTGAAATTTCGTTATGAAGATCAATAGATATGAAGTAGAAGAAGAAGGTAGTGTGGTTTCAATTGTCAGAAATGGTTGTACTTGAAGCCCAGTTGGACAATAGCACCTCCTCTTTATAAAGGCTTTTATTTTCTTTTTCTTTTTTTTTTTAATTCCATTTCATTATTATAAAAAAACTCCCCTTAGAAAAAGGAATATTATTTATAATTTTTTAAAACTTGTGAGAATATAAGAATTGGGTGGCTTTGATTTTATTCCCTATCTCATATTCAATGCATGAAAATAATTGAAGAGGTATTGTATGAACCAAATATTCTTTTGCCATATTCTCCATTTTCCTTCATAATTTGTAAAGTTCATGCATTCAAAATTATCATGTCACTACCATCAGTCAGGTATATGAAAAACAAAAACGTAAAAAACAAAAAGAATTTATCTACACTAATTTAAGTACAGGGTTACAGTTTCGGGAATATGTTTTTTAAGATAATCTTATCCCTAAACAAAAGTGTAATTGGGTTTTTTATCTTGTAAATTTTTTAAACTGGGTCCTTAGATTAGAGGCCTAATTGTTTTGTTTTTAGACTAGAAAACTTGAAAAAGATTAAGAAGTTACTAATTAGCTTAACCTAAATATGATCAATTTTTAGAAAAAAAAAAAATTCTGCATCATCTTTGTAGTAGAAAATATTTTATATCTCATATTGAAAAGGCCCACGTTGCTTAGCTTCACTATTGGGATAATTTAGTTTATATTATTCTTATAGTGGGATAAGATAAAATCTAACATTTCCTTAAAAATAAATAAAGTGTAATAACATAGTGATACCTAATTAAAGTTGTTTGTGTAACATATATATTTTGCAGGACATCTGTTACAGAGCAATTATAATAATACAGAAAGGAATATAGCATATAGTATAATATCTTGCATGCAATTGATTCAAGTTCTTTCCATTGTTATACCTAAAAAAATTAGATGCAAAAGAATTATAAAGGAATATAACTATTTGTCTTTAAAGAATTAGATGCAAAAGCATAATTAGGGTTTCTTGGTCTTGAAGGATGGGTCCAAACATTAGATTATTTTTTGATAGCTTAAATTATTGAAGATGGCATGAACCGAAGAAGATCCAACATAAGGGTGGGTTGATGAGAATGTAAAGAAAAGGATGGAATAAAGTGAGAAAAGGGAAGAAGTGTAGGTACATACATACCCTAGAGGAATGGGAAACACAAAGAAACAAAAGAAAAACCTAAGGTTGGGGAAAAGAGATGTGTCTAATCAATCTTGTGGCCATGAAATGTGTGAAGGTTACATCAAAGATTGAAGATGGGTATTAAGTGGGCAGCCATGAATTAAAGATAAATGGAGCTCAACACTAGGGATTGGGAAAAAGGGGAAATTATACTCAAAAGAATATTTCAAGGAATATCCAAATGTATCATATCATCAATGTTTTCATATTATTCAACTCTTTCATAGCAACGTATGAAGTCTAGGATCTTTATCAAGTCAACAACATAAGAGAAGATAAAAATTTGAACTTTTTGTTTTGTTTGTGAAATTTAAAATTTTCTATCAAAATAATATATTTTTGTTATAAAATATTTGGAGTTTATATATATATAGAAATGAATTTCTCTCTTAAGATTCGTTGGACAAAAACACCGTTATGCTTATCATGACATGAATTATTTGTTGAGGTATGTATGACGTGTGGGCATGTTCCTTTCCTCGATTTTACAAATCGAAGGTTGTCTACGTCATTGCATGTTCTCTGTAACATACGAAATTGGAAGACATGAGGATCAGCACGATGTGAAAAGAGTAATTTTTGTAAGCTTTTCCCTCTCTCCTTTCTCAATATACAAAATCGATTTAGTGATATTTTTGAGAATTGAAATTTTAATTTATGATTCATAAAACCCACTAAGATAATGTCATTATTATTTTGGTAAGTGCAATTTGATTATTGTGGTAGGATGCACTAGATGCCGTGGCTTGTTTATCTTTCATTGGTGTTGTGTAAAGTAATAGAACTTCCTCGCTCAAGTTAGTTTAAAGAACACGTTTGGTTTAGAATAATGTATCAAACATTATGGAATGATTACACTTTCAAAAAATTGTTTAAATTTTTCTAATTTCAATGACTAATGTGAACACAGTACACACTTTTAAGAATTAAAAGGATGGTTTTCACCAGAAAAAGGTTTTAGGATCCATACAAAGTAAATATATGAAACATCACAGTTACCAAGAACCATGCAGAAGATAACAACACCTTAGCTTAAAAATGGATTATCATAAAGTTAATGTGAAAATAATAATGCTACAACTGAGTAATAGCAGAAACCAGGAAGAGGTCCCTTGGCAAAATTTCCTGGAGGGTATTTTTCTTTCAAAACTTAGGACTCTATAGATGCTCATAATCATATCTAATGATAGCCGTAATATAGCAAGAAATGAAAAAATAACACACACACAATACACAACCACACCCTTGTTTTCCATAGACACCTGATTTTCCCTGACTTTTTCAACCTCAGACCTGCATTGCCAAAGAAACAAATGAATTATCATGTCCCAAGATAAAATAATTTATGTGAAAAATCAAAGAAAAGCTTAAAAAATTCTCACCTTAAAACAGCATTGTCCCTCAGTACATGATCCAGTTGCACAGAGAAATGGGACTTCCAAGAATCAAGATCACTAACTTCTTTCATCTGCAGACACAACAAATTAGTCTTAGGTGAACAGAAAGTAAAACCGTAGTGATCTTTTATAATTATAGACAGATATTGCCAAAAATATTCACGAAGAAACATAACATCATACCATAACATCTTGTTGTTCAAGGAAACTCCTAATTTCTTCTTTGATCTTCTCCAGAAATAGATCTTTTTCTCCCATGTTTTTTCCGTACTCTTTGAAAATACTAACATATCTGGAATTTAAGTCCTCCATATACTGCTCCAAAACAGACAAATTTAAGTCCAGATAGCGAACTTTCTGCATCAGAATCTTGAGAACAGTATCCCCTGGCATCCGGCCAACTTGTTGACGAATTTCTTCAACTGGATCGGGAACATTTCTATTCACAATTACAGCTTCTTTGTTTTCAGAAGAGATTTCTGAGGCAGGATCAGAATTGATCCCTCTGATAGTATTCTGTGGAACATCACCATCGGAAGAGTTAGCAAGGAAGGATGGTGCTACCCTCTTCTCACCATTACCTTCCCCAGATGCAAATGGCTTATCTTGATCATATATCAAATCCTCCAGCATTCTCTCAATGGCATCCACCCCATAAACTTCAAATATGCTTATTGTGCAATAGAATTCAGAACCATAGTGGCTTTGAAGGTTCAATTTTAGATATCTCACCCATTTTTGCTCCTGAAGAACAAACCGCCGAGCCTGCTTCACATTTAAGGCCGTGAAGTTGCCGAGGAATATCCAACTGTCAGTTGGATAGACCAAACTGCCATGTAATTCAAAATCTTTGAAATTGGAAGAATGGTGCTCAAAATTAGCTATTTCTATTGTTTTTACCAAGGTTTCTTCAGATAGTTCTATAACAACAAATTTCTCTTCTGAAGAACATGGATTGCGGAGATATTTGTCTTTATTTCTGCTTAGGATATCAGAGGCACCTCTGGCTTCTTTGTTAGAAGATAACACCTTTGCTCCCTTTGATGCTGAAGCATAATTGTATTCTGCACCACCAGGCTCTAATCTATGTATTACACTTCCAGATGGATTAGTGCCAGACTTTATTTTAGAACCAATTGCTCTGCTCTTGAATTCGTCAAGACCAAGAGGCATTGCCTGAGACAAGTGATTATACTTGTGCACATCATTTTGAAGTTTCACAGAAGATTCAGATCTCTCAACTTCATGCTCCTCTATCTTAGGAGAAATGTAATTTTCTTTATCAACCGGTTCAATGTTTTTTATGCTTTCTCCACCGGAAAGTGACTTGGCAATAAAACCATTGGATTTGGCAACACCAGAGGAGAAAGTTCCAGAAGGAGTATAGGTGTCATCAGTCTCTTCAGTCAAATATTCATCCGCAGAATTAGAGTTTTTACATTGTTTGTGTTCATCTTCATTCCAATTTGATACACTAGCAGGAACTTCTCTAGATCCATCTAAATATAGACAATAAACTGACTAAATAAGAATAGGCTACATACATCTGCAAGGAAAAAAGATTCTTTTGTATTTTTTTTCAAGTATGTTTGTTTGTGTTTGTCCTCAAGAAGCAAATGTTCATCCAAGGTGATGAAGGGCTTGTAGCAACAAAAAATAAAAGTTTTTTTATATAGAAATGCGATAAGAAATAAATGTATACAGTAGATACACAAACAAGAAAAAGAACGAAGCATGAATTTTTGTGCATTCAAAACTAAAAACTAGTAAAACATTAACAAAAAATTTCTTCAATAATAACTGTGAAGTTTCCTCAGACATAGTAGACTTGATAGTGCGCTGGGCCAATCAGCAGTCAGAATCTGGACTTCTTCCTTTGATTACATTAAAACTGAACCTGGATTTTGATTTGTTGAATTCTAAAAAGTTACTTCTTTCACTTTGAAGTGCTGAATATTTCTGTATATTGCAATCTTAATTACTACTAGATTGATGATTCCAATTAGTATACAACAAAATAAAAAGGTTTCCTAGGTGTAATGCAGAAAAAATGGTAGTAATATACAAAGCCGAACCTCTTATGAAGCAGGAAAGTGGTTGTAAATTTAGCAATGAAACTGTCAGATTTATTCAACTACTTAGTACTTATATGTCAATATGAAAGGCTTTTTCTCCCTGTCAATATAGTTAAAAGTTTATGGGAGTGAAAAAAAAGGGAAAAAAGGATAGTAAAAGTTCAAGATAAGACACTTGAAAAAGTACCAGTTTTTTTTTGTTTAATTTTCATTTCAGCCTCAGTATTTATTCCCCTGTCTAGTCCAAGCCTTCCACAAATCTAAGCCAAGTCAACAGACCCATACTAAGTCATACCCTCTGATAATCAAAGACACAGCTCTAAGAAATTATTGAGTTTTTACTCATAAAATACTAATTATGTTGATCAAACACAACCAATGAAGTATAACCCCAAACAAAACTCTTTAACAACACAAAATCCAACCCATCAGGTAAACAAAGTGGAAGCATAAAGCTTCCACCACAAAGGAATAATTAGGAAACACGGGGATAAAGGTGATCAATATCTGTATTCCAAGATAGAAATAATTTCTTTACAATATACTAGATCTATCCCTGCAAAGAACACATAGATAAACTGATGTAAAACAAGCAGCTGAGTCAACAACAAGGCCATGTATCCTTTTGTCACAACCATTATTTATGATGGTAATCTCCAAGCAAAAAACAGTGCAAAGTAGATAAAGAATACCTCCATAACCATGCCCACGGCTTATCCATAAGCTGAACAGAAAGACCAAGCCCCACAAAACAAACACCAATGAAAGAGAAACTTTATACAGATAGTTCCTCCCACTTGTAGCCTTCTCTACAGCCCTTCTTTCCAGAAGAGCTTTTCGTGATCTCTGCATCGCACATCAACCCAATTCACTGCAACACCCCTGCAACAATATGCAACACAACGTGTTTCTTCATTCAGAGCTCAAAAATGCCAAAGGAAAAAAAGGGTACGCGCTGTATCAAATAACTTTTGAGTTCAGCAAAGTGCCAAATATAAAATAAGGCTCTAACATCTATGAGGGAACACAGCATTGTAAGACCACACACATGGAGTAAGATATAAGTAGAAATTTCTCATAAATCTGAAAGGTGAATGCAGTAAAATAAAATACCCCACTCCCACCAACAAAAGAGGAAAAGTTCAATTGTAAAGCAAAGTTCCAAGGACAACCATCTCTCCGGTACATGGAATGAAAATTTTCAATAGATATCTCAAATCCATCCATCTTCGTAGTAAAGCAAAAGAATACCCTCTTATAGCAAAAGCAGTAACGTGCCACCAAAAACGATCATGACAAGACTCCACTGCAAATCAAATCAGCAAAAATAAGACCCATCATAGAAAATTGACCCCAATTCAAACCTCTTTGTCATTGGAAAAAGTAGTACCTCGAGGAGACACTCCTAATACGAATAGACTCAAAGGTCAATGGCATGTTGAGATTGATACCAAGAGAATTACTACCTAAGCCTAACGCATGAACGGTTTCACTCAATCACAGTTACTCAGATAACCCTAAGATACAGTAACTAGGAGATCTCCCTGAGATAGATTTTCAGATTGATGAAAAACAACAAGCACTATTTCAAGCCAAACAAAAACATTAAGCACCCACTAGTTATTACTGGAGTCTAAAATTGTGCTAAAAAGGGTCAAAGCAAGAACAGAGCAGGCATGAAATATAAAAGGGTCATGAAATCAAGCTAGAATTTGATGTGAAACACAAGAAATGAGATGTGGGATCCAAATCACAAAGTATGAATATAATATGTGTAATTGAATGATGAAGTTTGACCTTTGGGATTGAGAAGCAGTAGAATTGGGTGTGGGAAAAGTGTAGTTCTAGCAATAGAGAATCATTGAGAAGAGTGAGGGAAGGAAATGGGGTTTGTAGGAGAAGGAACACAGCGCGTGGAAACTGCATCCAGGTTGTCTTGTCATTTCCACTTCTTTTGAATTCAAAACTGTTCTCTCTCTCTCTCTCTCTTCTGTTCCTTTCTATGGTAACTGCAAACATTACCTTACATAACTCAAATTATGGAGGAAAAAAACAGAACTACATGCATTTTCTTTCAATTTCAAGGAAAAATAATCATCTTACCAACTTCAAAAGCGTGTTTCTCACACTAAAATTCAAAACACCCTTTTAACACGTATTTAGTTTGATGTAATTTCAAGACACAATTTTTCTTTAATTTTATAGTTTTTTTTTTAATTTTTTTTAAATTAATGCCTTTATCAATGATGGAACAATATTTATCAATAAGCATTTAAATTATCTGAATACAAAATATATATGTATACATAGATTTGATTAAATTAGTGTTTAGCTATAAAAAATGAAAATTTAGTTGTTCACCTTGAGATTTATAAGTTCATTTGTTCTTCATTATTATAAAAATAATTTAATCATTAAATTTGATAATTTTCTAAACTTTTTGGATTAAGTTAGGAAATATTTTTTTTTTACTTTTATACTTCCATAAACTAAAAAACAACTTCTTTGTATATATCTAATAATAACTATGGAAAGTAATTCATTCAACTTTGAACATTGATATTTTGCCTAATTTTTTTCTATAATTATTTTTTTCTGAATTAAAACTCTAAGTAATTTCAAAATATGTATATAATAAGAAAATAAATGTAAGTTGTGTTTTAGATTGAATTATTCAATTCATACAAAATAAATTAATTGACTTGATAATATTAAAGGTCAAATTCACCAATGTAGTATTATGTTATGGACCACTAATTGATGACCATTAGAGTTAATAACATTAATGACCAAATTAACTAGTAACACTAATTTTAAAGGCGAAATTAATTTTTTATCATAATACTTCATCATTATACTTTAACTAATTATTCTGATACAAGAAATATTTTATCTAATTATATGTAAATCTAATTTTAATTTTGATTATTTTTTAAATGTAAGAGATTTTTTTATATAAAAATTTGTGAAAACAATGTACGTTTATTATTATCTTTTTATTTATTATAATATAATTTAATGTTCTTCTAGAAAAGAATGAGGTTAAGTTAATAAATAAATAATATACTCAAAAATTTATTGAATATTAATTTCATGAGTAGTTACCATTTAAAATTTATTTTTTATTTTCTTTTAAATAGAAGAGTTTAATAGAAACAATTGACATATAAATTAAACTATATTATAAAATTGTTATCCAAAGATAAAATGATATGAATCACAAAGGGTGATTTATGATCTTTAGGGTTAGAACCTTGTAAGAAATTTAGGAATTAGAAAGAATGTGGACGGAAAAAATCACTCTTCCCAAGGGAGGCAACATACAAAGGATGTGAAAGTCCTTTGATACAGCCAATGGTTCTTGAATCACTCAATAGTTTAGGAGAATCACTCTCATTAAGATAAAAGAGATAATCTCCAATATTTCTGAATAAAATTTCACTTGTTATTTCTGATAAAAATGGTTCATCTTATAAAGAAGTTTTGTCATCAGAGTTACAAAGATTCACTAAAAGAAAATAAATGTTAATAATGATTTATTAACCTATGAATTGAAAACTACTTAATGGTTGATTGTAACTGAAATTGTGGCAACCAAAAGTCAATTAGTTATGCGATCTCCCAAAAGACTGATAACTAAATTTTCAATTGGACCCTTATTACAACTTGTAATAAAACCAAATTAAAACCTATTAATTGATTAATTCAAAACACAATTTGATCAACCAACAATATTTGTTGAAGAACTTCATTTGTTTCCCTTGCTCTAGTCCTTATCATAGGTCATGTTCAGATCATAGAATGAAACATATTTAGTTATTTTTTCTAGGATTATAAAAATAAAATTAACGATAATATAACTTATAAATATTATACTATAAAAACATGAAGTACACCCATAAAAAATTTCTTATATAACTTATTATTTTGTACATATTTATAAAACATTTACTTGTTAATTAATATATTATAAATTCAAACAATTTTTAACCCATGATTGAAAATATGTTTAACACAGGTGATTATATGAAGGTTATGGTATGAATAATAAATATTTATAATTACAACTTATTGATTTGAATAAAATATAATTCAAAATAATATGTTAGATGAATGATGTTAAGAAAACAAAGAAAAATATAATAATTATAATTATATATATATATATATATTAATTATTGTAATAAGATATAATAAACAAAAGAGTTAATAAAATTTTAAGAAAAAATTATGATACAATTAAAACCAAATGTTGTGAGGGTGCATAGACAAACATAGGTTAACTATGACGAGTAATAAATGAGGTTGATTGATCATAATTATTCACCGTTGATAAATAGTATCAAGTTATTAATAATATATATATATATATATATATATATATATATATATATATATATATATTGTTTTTAATGTACAGAGTTCCTACCTTGTTCCAATCAACAATTAGATGAATTTGCACAAAATTGTATGAAACAATTTTTCTAGTTAACAATCATACTTCATAACTACATAAATAAATTACACATTCCACAAAACAAAAAGTAAACATGACAGCACAAACATGTTGGCAAGACATTAAAAAAGAAAGAGCATTATGATAGGATATCATATACAAGAAGCTACTGAAAAGCTTCATAAAATCCAACTCCCACACACACACACACACGTAATAAATACATACATATTCATACCAAAGGAACTCTTTTTTTTAGTATTGAACAATTATTGCATTTCACACTACTTTCAATCAAGTAATTTGTCAAATCCTTCATCTCATGCTCATCACAGGCCTCAGAGTCACACTTGAAGCTGGTAGAGATGGTGGTCGCACTATTGGCACACGTCTCACAACTGAAAATGCTTCATTAAGACGTGCTACACGACCCATGAGCTGAGACACCTTCTGAAAAAGTTGTTTTGAAACACCGGAAAAATTTAATATGTCACGAGGCTTAACAGATATAGATAGTATCAACAAAACCATCATAATTATGCAAGTGAATATGGATGCATGACCAGTCCTCAACAACATCAATTCATAATAGTTGAAGTCATGATCTTGAATTTATGATCTCCATTAACTTTTCCTCACTGATGAACTGCAGTGAAACATGTACGAATTGCTCCACACTAAACATGGTCTGCATACTTTAAAAGATGCATCATATTGACCCTCAAAATGCAGGGTGGAAGTCGAATAAGAATTTATCAAGCATATGTAGGGTACTACAACATACATGAGGAAATATATCATCTCAAAAAAAAAAATTTCTACAAGGTGGGATAGGCTACATACTACATGCATGGATGACACCATTTTAGACAGAAGAAGTTGTCTCTAAAAACTTTTAGAACTGGGTTTCCGAGACCTTTCTCTACCTCAAATATGGTCATAATATTACTGTAGAGAGCTAAAACTCCAGAATATAGAAAAGGTAAAACGGCATACAGAAGTCATAAGAATAACTGTACCCTGTAACAAGTGAAGGGTAAACCCGGTAACAAGTGGAAGGGCAAACCTTAAAGATGAGACCAGTCTGCTTTCCCAACCAAATGTGCCAAAGGACAACACAAAATCACACAGACAATAAAATTCAGCCCTCTTTTAGTTTCGGCTTTTAATAAACCTTAACGATGAACTGTCCAAAATTGTTGTAGTAACGTAGCAGGTTTACAATTAATTTTCTTAGGGATACTTGTAGCTAAATTGAGTTGTGAGACATATATTGGCTTTTAGTTATAATAATAACTAAAAGCCAGCAAACTAAACATTCGATTTATTCCCAAAAAAAAATGTTACTTGGGTTGCATTCATCCTCAAAAACCCCTGCATATTTAGGAAGAAAACCCCGAAGCTGCCAATTCATGTACAAACAAAACATTGCAACTTGTCAAGCAACATCTTCAAGAATCAAAACATATATGTTAACATGATTATTCAACAAAAGAGCTTTTCACTTTACGCAATGCTTAGTTACCACAGAAAATCCCATCCAATTTATAACAAACAGCACATCAATGCATTTTTTAAGAAAAATTAACATTCAAATCTAAAGAAATAATCACTTATTCTTTGCAAACTCTCTTTAAGAAATACTTAAAGTTCTTATTGATTATAAAAGGCATCATATTTATTTTAAAAACAATTTTTCTCCAAGACACTGTCAAACACTATATGAGTTAGACTAATCCCTATCGGTGGCAAACCGGATTAGACTAATTTAGCTGACCCAAAACGCCCCTAAATTAAATAAATTAAACAAATTAAACTCAAGGTTTTTAGCTCGAATAGCTCATTTTGCCACCTAACCTAGACTAGCCTCTTTGGCCAAGAGGCAACTCCATTCATCACACAAGCAATTTCATTAGCAAAATAAGTTCGACCAATCTCACATGTTATGAAAAATGCTAAATTATCAAAAATCTCTCCCATGGTTCAATTATGTCTGCAAAACACAAAACAAAAGGTCGGTTGTATGTATATGATGTATTATGAAGGAAGCAAGGACCTTATCATCGAGAGCGAGGTTGAGCTTCAAGGTCTGACTCTTGCGCTTCATTCTGTACAACCTCCTTCCCAGGAAGAAGAGTCCGAGAAAAGCAGCAGCAGCAGCCACAGAGAGAGACCAGACAGGGAGAGGCAGAGGCAGAGGGTTCACCCAACACTTCAACACCTCAAACGGAACCTTCCACCACACCAATCTCTTCTCCTCCTCCATCTCCTCTTTCACTTCCTCTTCCTCTCTGTCCTCTTCCTCTGCCTTCAAGTTCTCCACCGGCACAATCTCGGCCCCAGGCATGGTCCCCGCGGTGACCGTGTCAGAATCGGAATCAGCAGTCCATGGAGCGGTGGGATTGGGAAAAAGCTGATTGGCAACATAGGAATCATCGAAATTGCGATCGACCTCGGAGTTGGAATTGGAACTGCTAGTGGAATTGGAATTGGAATCAGAATTGGGATTGGGATGATGATCGACAGGTAGGAGGGAGAAATGGTCGGGACGGATAGGGTGGATGGGCTGGAGTGTGGGCGGAGCAAAGGGGACGGGAACGAGAACGTCTTCGTTTGGGTGGAGGAACTCCCAGTCTTCTACTTCGAACTGTGCGTCCATGGATGGTGGTGATTCTCGACTTTGATTACAGCAACCCAAACCAAACCCAACCAAAAGGGAAAGTAACGACTTAAGGAATAAACTTAACCCTAGCTTTTGGGCAACCAATATATATAGCCATACTCAAATCATAGTCTCACTTACAGTTACAATTACAGTTACACTCTCTTCAAACGTAACAATTTCTCTTATAAAAAATGTATCCTAGGTAACATGTTTTATTATTAATTAAAATTTATATTTAATTTCTCTTATATATTTTATTGGAAAGGTAGGGTTTTAAATTTTAAATAATGAAATTTGATTGTATAAGTAATAAAAATGTGATTTTTCAGTTTTTATGAAACACCATACACCTAGGTTATTTTGGAATAGATAAGAAGATATTGAGGATTTGTATTATCCGATGTAATTTGGTAATGTTATTAAGGTTTGGTCCCTGTTACTGTTTTGCATAACTGCACTGGGTGGGCCCACATGGGAAAGGAATTTCATTTTTTGTGTTTCTAGTTTTTCTATTTTAAAAATATATTATTATAAATCCGAAACTACTTTATTTTATTAATTTTTTAATAAATTAATCATAGTTTTTAACTTTCAAATTAATTAAAAAGTGATAGAAAATATAATAGTTTTAATATTCGATTTTTCAGTTTTAATATTTATATTTATGAATGTGTGGCAGTTTTGTTTTATTGAACTTAAAAAAAATGTAATTGTTTAATCTTAAATTCCAACTTCCTAAAATAGTTTCAACGTTTTTTTTTAATTAAAATCTTCAAAATTCAAATTAATAAAAATAATATTTTGTGATATTTGTAAAATAAATTATGTATTTTATTGATTTTGAATTATTATTATATATTTATGCATATATAAATTAGAAATACAAGCAATAAGTTTTGTTAGTTGAAAAATAAAAATTAATTGGTCTCATATTTTATTTTGTAGTTTTGACAATTTTTACCAATGTTAAAATGTTTACATTAATGAATCCATAAATACATTTGGATGTTAATTTAAACCTTACGACAAGTCTTGTTTTTTTATTTTGTGTACAACTATTATTTGTATTTTCCAAAGACTTGCATTAGCGTCCAACATTTTGATTTTTTCTTGTACTTAATATATGAAAAAAAATGTATTCTTGTACGACAAGCATTTTATTTAATTTTCTCAGTAACAGTAGGATTGTGCTTAATGTGGTTGTAATTATTCATCATATGATATTTTCTATGAAAAAATAACATAAAAATTATCTTTTGAAAAATATTGTAAGTTTTGAAAAAATTTCCTTTTCTATGAAAAATATTGTAATTTGTTTTTGATATGTATTATATTTTCCACGTTCTTGATAATATTCTAATATTTACATTTACTAATTTATATTAACTTTGTTAACATAAAACAAGGCTCTTAATTTTGACAAATAATTAATTAAGTCATCCTTCGTAATAAACGAGCAAAGTATCAAAATCAGTTGTATAATCAATCACAAATAATTTTCAATTCAATTATTATTAAATAAAATTATTTATAATTAAAAATACTAATATTATTTAATTTTATAGTGTATGAGTTGTAGAAGTTAAGTATCAAGTATTCTGTACAAGATTATATTTTTTTATAAATCGTGGACATTGAATGAATATATGGCTACTAGACTGTAATTGACTTTAGAAGACTCACAGTAGACTTTATAAAAGCATACTTAGGGATAGAAAAAAGGGGACAACAAAACAATCATATTCCCACACCACTTCAATAGTCATGCGTAGTAGAAACAACATGGGGACGACGATCCAACTTATGATAACTACAATGGATGGAGCAAATGTAGAAACAACATGAAGAGAGTAAGCTACGAGGAACTTCTACTAAAAAAAAGAACAAGGAGCTTCAACAAAACCTGCAACAAATGCTCGGGGGAAGGGTAGAGCCCTGGTTTAGAGATAGTGTATGTACCAGTCATTCGACACCCATGGAGTTCATCCCTCCTCACTATTTAATGCCAAGGTGCAACTTTTTAATGCTCCTGTGGTACATGTGAAGACCTTTCGAGCATAGATGATCACCAGCGGGGGAACAAAGGGGTGCAGTGCAACATATTTGTTGGCACCCTCACGGCTACAACATTAGGTTGGTTCATTGATTTATCAAACAGACTCATCACCTCTTTTGAAGATTTAGTCAGAGTATTTTTGACCCAGTTTGCAGCAAATAAAGCAAAACCGCCCAAACTAAGCTACCTATTCGACGTCAAGATGATTCTGCAAGATAACATTCTGAATTTCACAGCTTGATGACATGATACTCGACGATACAATGACCCTTATACCAGCGACATGACAACACTCATCGCCCACCCCGTAGTGTACAAATCCCCCTTGATATGTCGAATAAGTATATCCCAAGGGACGTCAATGCCGCAAGACAATTGACTTACTCATAAAAATCCTGACCGATAGTTAGGACCAAATCGAGACTCATGGTATGAATTTTATCGAACCTTGAGGCATGACACGAACAAATATTATACTTTCATCCAACAAATTGAATAATTGATCCGACAAGGGTACCTACGTCGTATCGCAACCCTAGAAAAAGACGAGCAAATGAAAATTGAGAGAAGTTGGTCAATGAATGAGCATGAGATGCTGACTCTTGGCAATTTCAACACAATAGCTGGGGGATTTGCGGGTGGAGGCAACACAAACCCGACCAGGAAATGGCATGTGAGGGTGCATGCGCAGATAATGCAACTTTCACATATGTCAACGCACTGAACCATCAATACGACTTAGAAGATGTCATTCCCCATCAAGACGACCCTGTTATTATCTTTGCTATACTGATGAATAGGAATGTCCACCGGATCCTCATAGGCTAAGGGACCATAACAATACAATACTTGGTTGTTAAAGCGCCTTCTTCTTGCAATATACTCCTGGATCGCCCATCTTTAAATCGATTAGGAGTGGTCGTCTCAACAGGACACTTAAAAGTTAAATATCCAATCGGCAACGGTAAGGTCAACACACTTCATGTTAACCAACATTTAGTTTGGCGCTACTACGAGAACAACTTGTGTAATAAACACACATTTTCTCTTAGTCACTCGTCTGAAGGTAATACATCACCAGACATGGATCCCCGACTAGGTACCGATGATAGACAATAAAGTCCAAAATTGGCGAAAGCTCGACCTGATCCTAGAACGAGACCTCACACAGATACTCCGCGCAAACACACATGTGTTCGCATGATCAACACACGACATTCCCAAATTGATTTAGATTTCCTATGTCATAAATTGGCCATTGACCCGAATGCGAAACCAGTTGATCAACGTCAAAGGAAGTTCGGGTATGGGAAACATCAAGCAATCAAAGAGGAGACCCAACTTTTATTCAAAGTGGGTCATATCCAAGAGATACAATATCCAATGTTGTCATGATCAGAAAGAGCTCGGGAAAATGGTGAATGTGCACCAACTTCACATAATTAAACAAAGCCTGTCTGAAGGACTCGTACCCCCTATTGACAAACAAGTATCTAAATAAAGCACTCCGTATATTATCACTTGATGTATTTGTAATGAGTGATACATGATCAATTTATAGGTCTTTGGATATGGCCTTTCAACTACATGCATTTAATACAACTACTACCTTTCAACTACATACATTTAATACAACCACTATCTCTCAACTACATACATTCAATACAACTACTATCTCTCAACTACTACCTCTATAACCACTACCTCTCAACTACATGCATTTAATGTTTACCTAACAAAATCCCTCCATAAACTTAAATGTTTTTCTTGTCCTTCATTCCAAGCATCTTCTTGTTGTTCTCGAACAGAGTGGTTGACAGTGGCTTCGTGAACATATCTGTAGCTTGTGCATTTGTGTTGAGCTGCTAAGGAAATCAACAACCTAATTATTTCCATTCTCGTCACTGGGGTGAATACTTCATCATAGTTTATTCCTTCCTTTTGCTTGTACCCATTCACTACGAGTCGAGCTTTATATCACTCAACTTCTCCTTTAGCATTTGTCTTCTTCTTGTACACCCACTTTACGCCGATAGGCCGCACTCCTTTGGGCAAATCAGTCAGCTCCCATGTACTGTTGTGTTCTATTGCCCCGATCTCCTCGTCCATTGCCTTTTTCCACCTTTTCTCCTACACGGCCTCTTCAAAGTTTAAGTCTTCTGAATCTGCCAAGAGACATACAACATGCACTTCGTCAGTGAAGTTGTATATATCTTGTAAACTTCGCGCTCTGGGCTGTAGAGGTTCATCTTCTTCATCAGAAGTCTCGTGATCTCTCACAGTATGTGGTGTATCAACTTCCGAGCTTCTACTTCCTATGGACTCCTTCTCCGAGTTGTTCCAACTCCACTCGCTTTCTTCATCAATTTGAACATCTCGGCTCATGATGACCTTCTTAGTTATTGGGTTAAACAACCTGTACGCCTTGGATTTTTCATCATACCCAATAAACACGTACTTTTTGCTTCTATCTTCGAGCTTGATCCTCTGTTGAGCTGGAACATGACCATAAGTTATGCTACCGAACACTTTAAGGTGAGACACACTCGGTTTTCTTCCACTCCAGACTTCTTGCAGTGTCTTCTCGTTCAGCTTAGCATGTGGACATCTATTTTACACATAGATGGCACATTGCACTGCTTCTGCCCAGAACTCCTTTGACATGTTTTTGCTTCTCAACATTGTTCGAACCATGTCAAGAATGGTTCGATTCTTCCTCTCGGCAACTCCGTTTTGTTGGAGTGAGTATGGTGCTATCAGAAATCTCCTTATCCCTTGATCCTCGCAATACTTCATGAGTTTGGATGAAATGAACTCGCCTCCTCGGTCGGACCTAACAGATTTGATAGGCATGTCAGTCTCTTTCTCAACCATTGCTTTAAATCTATTGAACACCTCAAACACCTCAGATTTCTCCTTCAAAAAGTATACCCAGGTT